GGCAATGAGATCGGGCATAATTGCACTTACCGATCGCGCAGGTCCTGTCCAAGGAGCCAACTCGCTTCAGCCTCTCGAATTCGTTTGCCGTAAACAAAGCCGTGTTTGCCGAAGCACCTACATGGCAGAATTGTTGAGCGCAGTGGATCTCAGTGGACTTGCAGTCACCATCAATAGCGGAATAACAGAGGTGTTGCAAGGCTGTCAGTCGGCAGCTGAACTAATCCGCAGACAAGAACAAATGAACAATGCGTTGCAGTTGACGTTGGTGATTGATGCGATGGCCGTCTTTCAGGGAGCAACCTCTGAGGAAGCTCGCTGTACTGACAGCGCGGCCCTGTTGCATATGTTGTCTCTCCGACAGCTGTTAGGGCGAGAAGTGAGCAATCTTGCTTGGTGTGACACCAGAGACATGTTATGCGATGGACTTAATAAGGGTGTAATCCCCAGGGAACCTATTAGGGCAGCTTGTGCATCAGGTTGTTGGCAGATTAACTTCCCCCTTAAGTTCTCTAAGCACACTTCCTCTGAGTGAATCCCCTCTTTCGGTTGTAGGATAGAGGTTCAGTCAATATACAATCGCCTTGAGTGCGCTCAGCACTTCCGTCATTCAGGACCGCACTGCAACAGAGTTGCGGCACGAGCGACCCGAGTCAAGAGTCCTGCTCTTCCAGGAACTTCCCTCTCCGAGCGATCGAGTTCGTGTCCGCTGCAACCGAAGCCTCGAGGTAGTTCTGGTTCTTGATCGATAATTTCGGCCTCTAGGTCTTTGCAAGCTGTCTTTCATCATTTCCTCTGCACTCCGGCTAATTCACATCTTTGCGGGACTGATAGCATGCGAACTGAGAGAGCGAGCCTGAGAAAAGGGAGTGATGCCTTCAATCGTCCAGTAGAATTGTGGAGCCATGTGTCAATCGGTCGGGAGCAATCATCAGGCAGGGTGCTCAGCTTCGATTAAGGTTTAGGGCTTATTTTTGAGGCATTTACACTTAAGCTGGCAATTAAACCTAAACCCTTAAGCTTTAAACCGTAAAGGGTTAAGGTTTAAAGGTTCAGGGTTTACGATTTAGGCATTCAAACTTCAGCCGGCAATTCAACCTAAACTCTCAACCTTTAACCCCTATGGGGTTAGGTTTCAAGGCTTAGGGTTCAAGATTTAGGCATTTAAAGCTAAGCCTATAGAGTTTGAACATCAAGAGTGAAGAGTATTCAAACTAGGTTAAGCCTTAAACCCTATAGGGCCCCTATAGGGTTAGGGTTTTTCAAGGTTTATCTACCCCACCGGGGTTAGCCCTATAGGCTATAGGGTTTAAACCTTATAAGGGGTTAAAGGCTTAGAGTTTAGGTTTAGGGCATCATCAGGGATTTAACCACTTTACTGTTTTCCTTAAGCCTTAAAGCATATAGGGTTTAGGGTTATAACGCTAAACTCTATAGGATTAGAACCTTATAACCCTATATCATGGGCCTTGAGGCTGTTTTCCTCAAGCCTTAAAGCATATGGGCTTAGGGCTATAACGCTGAAGGTATAAATGCCCAGACCTTAGGCACATCGGGCTTAGGAATTAAAACCTTTACGCCCTATAAGGTTTTAAAGGTTTAAGGCCTGGGGATGTAAAATTCAGGCTTGGGCGGTTTATCTACCCTACCGAGGTTAGCCCTTTAGGGTTTAAACCCTACAAGAGGTTAAAGGTTTAGAGTTTAAGGTTTAGGGCATTGCAAAAACGTAATCCTAGACCCTCAGGGATTTAACCACTTTACTGTTTTCCTTAAGCCTTAAAGTATGTAGGGTTTAGGGTTATCACGCTAAAGTCTATATAGGATGAGAACCTTATAACCCTACATTTTAGGCCTAGAGGCTTAAATCCTAAACCTTAAATCCCATAGAGTTCTGCCTATGTTTGTAGGCTTTGCCTCCTGTGGAAATGCAAAGAAAAGTAGAACCAGTACCCACTTCATGTATGTAGATAGGGTATATGTATTGCATATGAAATACTGATAATGGAGAAGCCTCGAACCGTTTACGAAGTGTTCGAGCGCATAAGGTGATGCGGAAAAGCCATGTAAATATTGTAAGCCCCGTAGACGTGAGAATACTGTTTGCAAATACTTTTTCACCATTTCCCAGGACTTTTCGAGAGGCTGTAATGCTCATTTCAAACTATCCGCAAACCATAGGGGCCGGCGCAAGCTTCACTCTCGCACACCCGAAAAACGGCGGATAGCTGAGGGGGGAGCATATATATATACATAGTGTGTGAGAGAGAGGCAAAGAGAGAGAGAACATTTAGGAGGCAGCAGGGATTCAATCAAATCAATAAGGATGAAACAAGTTAAGAACAGTCTTGCAACCCCAAACCGTAATGACCAGCAAGTTGTCGATCCTTATTCTCAATGTTGGTTTTTTTATTCTGACACCACGTATAGGAAAGGTTGACCTTTATGTGTATCTATACATATATGTATGTATGTATGTATTTATATTCATATTTGAATGTATCTTTATATATTTTTGCATGCGCACATTGCGTTTGCATTGCGTTAAAATTGCATGCCATTGCATTGCATTATGCTGCATTGCGCTTCATGACGATATTCTTTTGGGCACATCCTCTGATGTTTCGAGACTTGCGGGAACCCGACTGCAGGGCAGCGACCCCTTCGGGAATGCCCCCTTCCAGGCCATTGCGAGTTTGCGGCGTAGAGCGAGGGTTGGAATTGCTGGGCAGTAGCCGGAAAGGCAGCGCCTGCTGCAGCGCCGGCAGCGCCGCCTGGGGCTCATGAGTTGACTCCGCGGGTTTCCCATCAAAAGTTCGGGCGTCACGAAGATCTCTTGTCTCATCCAGGTGCCTCTTGTCTTACTTGCATTCAATGGTGGAAGCGTCAGGTGCGCGCAGATGCCCGACCTGTTCGCCTCGGGCACCGGAGGAGACTTCGCAGGCTTCCAGGCAGGGTCAAAGATGTGCAAGACTCATCCAATCCGCGCTGAAAGTGTCACAGGGTGGTGCTTGTGGAGCCTGCGGCGGCTTGAGCGCTCCGGCCCCATGCATGGCCGGAGGCTGCGGGGGCTGTGCAGGCTGTGGCGCCTGCAGCGGCCCATGCGGGCCCGGGGCCTGTGCCCACCCAGGCTCAAGCTGCCCGGGTCCAGGCACTCAAGCCATGGCGCCTCCCTGTTCGGGCATGTGCGGAAGCGATGCCCCAGCGAGTCACTGCCTCAGAATGGAATGCTGATTGCGGAATCTATGTCATTGCCATGCCAGCCAGGCGGACAGATGGAAACCGGAGGGCATGCGCCCGAAGCAACCACGTAACATTGCCACATATGCACTCCGCTTTCAAGCATGGTCATTCCGGATCCATGTTTCCATGAGGTCTTTCCTGGATGGTATCTCTAGCAAGCTGCTGGCACCAAGCTCAGCAGCTGCGGCTGAAGCACGCTGCTGAAGTTCGCCTTACCATTACCATCCCTGACTAAGGACCTGAACCTGAGCTCTGGCACTTCCCAGGCTTCTGGTCAGCCCTCTCCGAACAAGCCCATGGGAGGCCCCTCGGTCCTCTTCTGTGAGTTACTTGAGAAGGGGCGGCTATAGTGCACGTTATAAGTGCACGGCTAATGCACTGCTTTGATGCGCTGTGTGCGCGCAGGCATGGGAATGGGCAGCGCCATGGGCGCCATGAGCAATGCCATGGGCCCAGGCTCGGCCGTGCCTAAACGGGAGCACGGCGAGAATGAGTGCGATCGCAGATCTGGGAGTCGACTCTGGCTTGGGAGCGTTGCGTCGTTGGAGCAGAGAACTCTCAGTTCGGAACGTGTGTGCAGGTGCCATGGGCGGCGGCTGCGGTGGCTGTGGGTGTGGAGGGCCTCGGTCTCAGAATTGACAAAATTGCAAAGCGAAGTGCAGAAGCAAAAGAGTTCAGGTGCGGATGCGGCTGCGGCGGCTGCGGCGGCTGCGGCGGCTGCGGCTGTGGGCCATGTGGGGCCTGCGGCTCTTGTGGCGGTTGCGGAGCCTGCGGCTGTGGGGGCCCGTGTGGTGGCTGCGGTTGTGGGTGCGGTGGCGGATGTGGATGTGGGCCATGCAGCGGCTGCGCAGGCTGTGCTGGCTGTGGCCCATGTGGGTCTTGCGGAGGCTGTGGATGCGGTGGATGCGGTGGACCCTGCGGTGGCTGTGGAGGTTGTGGAGGTTGCGGAGGTTGTGGATGTGGATGTGGGGGCTGTGGCAGTGGCTGTGGCTGTCCTGGCAATCAAATGATGGGCCAGATGGGGCAGTTCGGCCAAATGGGCCAACCCCAGATGGGCCAGATGGGCCAGGCCCAAATGGGCCAGATGGGCCCAATGGGCCAGATGGGCCAGATGGGCATGAAATGAGTGCACTTAAGCCGGTGCAGTATTCTGTAATACAGCACTTGCACCAGAACTCGACTTGTGTAGCGTTTGCCCCACTGGCCTTTGCCGGTTGCTGCATTCGAGCCTCCGCTTCGAAGAGCAATGCAAGTCACACTCCGCAGACCTCGCAGTGATCTCTTAGACTCTAAGACTTTTGACTTCAACAAACACACTGAGAGGTTGAGCCGGGGCTCCTGCAGAGCCCGCAGTTGGATTTTCGATGCTTAATGCTCTTAAACCAACTCTTAGATATCTCATGGCTTGCCCGGCTTGCCCCTCCCCAATGTCAGAAGTCGACATCGTGGGGTGCAAAACTCGTTGCATGTCGAGGATCAGGTGAGAGGTTTGTACTCACCGAGTCGCGAAAGCACGTCCTTCGAAATATTGCTCCGTGCTCCGAGCGCCCGGGCCCCGCCACTCCGCCGTGGGTTGTGAGACAGAGACTCCGACGCTGGACAGAAAGAGGCTCCGCCCAGCTGCCGTAAGCTGCTCTTAAGATTGCTCTTTTGCAAGAACAGGTGGGATCTTTCATGCTGCTCTCTGCATCCCAAGTGCTGAATGAAAAATCAAAAAGTGCCTTGAAAGCATTGGTTCACAGCGCTTTGCCTTTGTCCTCATGGTGGCAAGGGCAAAGTTAAGAAGCAGCCCTCAGAAAGATCGGCTCCGCAATCGGCGTGCCTCCTGGTCAGTTGCAGCTGCCACCTGCTACGCTGGCTACGCCGGCTGTCACTGTTTCGCAGCTGAGATGGCCAACCGGGCCATTCCAGAGAACTCTCCACGGGTACGAGGCATCGACGAAGGCCTACGACGGCGAGGAGAAGGTGGGCTCGACGCACGTGACGCACGCGATGCCCGTGATGTGGACGCGGCGGTGGCCTCCGACTCGACATCATCAGCCTCAGGCTCCTGGACGAGTTGATTCATCCAACCCCTTCCCTATAAACCCTCTGTTGCCGCCCTAGAAGGATCCAACACATTCCGAAACCCCCCTCAACCCCATAAGAACTGCTCAGGCTACCGGAGCTGCCTCCGAGCGCTCTCCTTTCTGGGAGTGCACCGTGCCTGTGGCTTTCTGACAGCTAGGAGGCGGAGCCGCCAGGACCGGGACGGCAACCTCAGCTCTCTGCGTGCCTCCGAGTTGGCTGGCGAGGCACGGAAAGTCCGCAATCTCAACTTAAGAAATCACCGCAACGGATATTCACGGGCCATTATCCACACCATGTCGCACCTGTCTTTGTTGTTTTGCACATCTCTTTGCCTTTTGTACTTGTACCGCAGAGCCCTCAGGCCATGCTGGAGAGCTGCCCGCCGCCGGTGCTCTACAAACAGCCGGGAGCTTTCAGAATTTCAGTCCTGCTTGAGACGTTTAGGATGCCTTAGGGGAGTTTTTTGTTCGGGGCGCTTTTGTGTGTGACGATAGCCCTTGAGGCGCTGGGTGCAGCTGGCTTTCCTGGCCCTCTTAGCCTTGCTGAGCGACCTGGTGTTTCAGCCTGAGAGCGATTGCACTTGTGCACAACAAGCACAGCACAACAAAGGGGGGCGCCCTGAAAGAGTCACTCTTCCTGAAAGAACTGACTTTCACTGAATTTCTCACAGGTTTTTTTCATTTCGTAGCGTGAGAGGTGCTTTAGCGTCGCTGCCACGCCTGGCACCCGGGACCCTCGACATCCTTCGCCCCCCCAGCGCCCAATTGAGTCCCGGAGGCCAGCGACCTGGACAAAGGTGTTCGGCCAGGCACAGACGCTCTGCAACTCGAATTGGCCCTCAGACAAGCTAATGCCAAGCGGCAGCGCTGTTGCAGGATCCTGCCACCCTGATCGATATCTTCCTGTTCACAAATGTCTTCGCTTGCTTCATTGAGCCCTTTGTCCACGACCCGGTGCTTAGATTGGCTTAGATGCAGGGATGGAAAACTCGATGAAACACCAGTAAGCAAACACCACAGAGCTCGGGCATTCCTGAGATCATTCGCACTTTCGGGCTTCGCATCCCCATTGTGGCAGCAGCTGTGCAGGGATCCTCAGATCGTGCCCTGTGTCACTTTAAAGCAGCGGGAGTTCCCGGATGCCCTGGTGCAAGTTGATCAATTCGACAGGTCACCAGCTCCACGCCTCTTAAACAGCAACGCTGCAACGCCCAAAGAGAAGTACGCCCAGACTCTGCACCAACCCCCCTAAACCTGTAAACAGTCCAAGACCAAGTCTCCCTCTCTCCGTCTCTCTCTTTCTCTCTCTTTGTCTTATTTCTCTCTCGAGAGAAAGGGAGCTTTTCAACGTACCCCAAAAGGCACTTCGCTCCCGGAAACTCCAGGGCATCGGTCTACTCGCCAAACCCAACAACGCACGCCTGCGGGTGGCCCGTTCCAATGGGGGAGGGTTAGGTGCGCAGAAAGAAAGAAATCAATAGAAAGAGAGAAGGTTGGAAGACAGAAAGAGAGAGAGAACTGAGAACGTTTGGTCAGGCTCATGGCAGTGGGCTGCTGGCTTCGATCGGGCCTTCCCTTCTCGGGAGATGAGCTGCCAGGCTCCTGGGAAAAAGATTCTACAAGGGGGCGGGGAAGGGGAGCCCGGGCCTGTTACAGGTTCTATATAGGAGTCGCATACGTCGCATACGTCGCATACCATATTAGGATCCGATGTATTCCTACGCTTTATGTGTTGGCATAAGAGGCAGTTGCAATCTCACCAGCCTTTGGAGACCCTGAAAATTCTGGTTGTGTTTCAACCGCTCGCGGGGCGGCCTCCCCCCACCCCCACCCCTGCTCTTACGAGCTCATACAAACTTTGCTTCTTAGCCATTACATGTAGAGAATGCGTGTCGAAAGTGCTGACAGTTACAGGGCCCCCGAGGCAGAAGAAACGAACGAAGCCAAAACCACAATTCACAGGGACGGAAAAGCTCCACCCTTTCCAAACCATCATACGAGCAGTGTGATTTGAACTGGGCGTGTGGACAGTGTTTTAGCCAGACATGTTTGCAGCAGCCCAAAAAACACAATGCAGCAACTGTTAATGTGCAGGTTCTGATTGTGAACAATCACAAATGTTCTCATTTGCAGCCTTTGGAGCTTCTGATCTCCAAAAATGCTATGATGTCCAGCATATTGGTCTGGCATCTTTAGTTGCATAAGCTACAGCCTTTGAAGATCGTGAACAATCAGAAATGCTGTATAGTTGAGAGCATTGGAGTTGTGACCAGTCAGACATGCAATGATATGCAGCACCTGGCGCTCAAGCAGAAATGCTGAGAAATCTACTGTAACCTACCGACTTCGGATGGGAGTGCTGGAAGTTAAGGCTTCTGGAACAGTGGAACAGCTGGCAATGCCGTAGTAAACAGCAGCTGAACAGCATTTGGAGCCCTGGAACACGCGGAAATGTTGTATTTGTCAAAAAGAAGCCAGAATCTGCATTTCAAAGCATTTTGAAACCACGAGAGGGAGGGCCAACGGTAGTAAGGAAAACAAGCCAGTGCCAACCTTAGGACACACACACACACACACCTCCGCCGGGTACACGCCCCTCCCCCCCCCCCCCTAGGAAACACGTGCGCCCACAGGCAGCCAATCTTTAGGGGGGCCTGGGCCACCCATTCCATGCATGCGTTTCCCTCCTGGATTTTTCCCCCTTTTCATGCAGGATACGGGACAGTCGTAGCTGGGACCATGCTCGTGGCAGTCCGGGCCTTACCCTTGTCATCCTTTTCCGATCCTTTTCCGACCCTTGCATTCAGACTAGTCATTTGCGCAGGTGGCACAGCCATTTTTCCAGTGCACGCCGCCATTGCTGTCGGCAACCTGGTTCGCGCCTGACGAGCCTTGCCCTGCAAGTTTTCTGCAGCCCGCCCTGCGGACAACCGCGTGCAATTGTCAACGCTTGCGCGCGCCGCCTCGGCAGCCGGCCAACGCGGGGTGTAGCGTGCACCCTGCAGACGCAGGAACCAAAGTCATATGTGAGGCTTGGTGCCAGGGGCCTGGGATCGTTGCAGGGGAGTCAAGGGCTTTTGGAGGAGCGGTCCCAAAGTCAGGCCCTAAAGCACCCACGGCCCAATGCAGCTCCCAAAGAGGGGGCCGACGTTGGGGGTGGGGGGGCCTGCACCGTCTGCTCCCACACACCTACAAAAATACCCCAAGAAAAGGCCAAATAAAGGGCTCCCAGGTAAAGGGCTCAAGCTATTTGAGGAAGAGATTAGAGGTAAGGAAACCCGAAACCCTCAACTTTGACTTATGCCCGCAACGCCACGCCCCGACGTATGCGCCGTCCGCCGCACAGGGCTGCCAGACAAAGGGTTCACTTATTCTGCAGCCCGAAACACCCATGGCCGCGCATCAACAAAGCCGTGGTCCTTGTCGACGAAGTAGGGTGCGCGGGTGGGGAGGGGTGCGGCCCGAGGCGTCGGCGGATTCTACAGCATATATCCATTGTCACGCTACTCCTCCCATCACACGAACGAGTTGCACGCCTAACCTATCGATGCAGCGGACGCTCATCCCAGCAGTTACACGCTCAGCTCAGGAGCGAGCGATGTCCACGGCTGTGGCCATCAACTTCAACCAGGCTCTTCGTGGACTGCTCTCTCGGTCTTCGCAGTCTCGGGACTGTCCTTGAGGTGGGCATCGCTGCTGCTTTCATCGCGGGCGGCGCAATGGGTGGGTCGGAAGCGGGACTGAAGGCACCGATTTGAGGATTTCCGTAGATGCTAGGTCCTCTTGAGCCTGCCACCAGCGTACGCCGTAGACTTACTTCGTGGCCATCACCTTACTCTCAACCGTGGTTGCGGCGGCATCCCTGTCCCAAGCTCGGTGCAGGGACCTATGTTAGAGTCATAGAGCTGTGCGGTCCTCTGCCGACCTTTTCCTGACTTCCGAGGATCTTCTTCCAGGAGCGACCGCCCACGCCACCGCGTGGGGCTCGGGCTCCATGAGTTGACCCAGTTCACGCTTGGGCCCTCCGATAACAAGCGCCCCTGGCCCAACAGCGGGTTGCGCGGGCATGGGCGGGGCGGTAATCCGAGGCCTGAAGGGCCAAAAGCTTGCCAGGACACATGCGAAGCCTGAGAGATCTCAAGTTTTTGGGTTCACTCTCTGGATTGTTTTGGTTTTGGGAGCCTACAGAATCTCAGAAGCAAGAAAGAAGGAAGACAAGTAATTTTGCAGTACATGGTGCGGGCCACATGGGCCACCGGCGAAACGTAGAACTCCGGAACAAAACTGCGGCGGAAGCCACACTAAACCACGATGCAAATTTCCATGAACAAATCTGAGGTCAGCATCGGAGTTGGAAAAATTGCTCGCAGAGAAGTCAGAGAAATCGGGTGCCCTGAAGGCTGAGGCGGGGCATCTCACTGGGTGACGTGTCTGGCGCTTCTGACAGAACCACGTGTGCCAGGTCGAGGGGAGCAAAGAGGCGAGCAAGGCGAAACCCGAGGACAGCTTCCCGAAGGAGGCCCTTTTGCCCCCCCCCCCCCCTGCCCCGAAATTCCCGAAGATCCCAAACTCCTGGAGTCTTTTTGGATTCCTCTTGTGCCGTCAGGCTTGGCGGCTGATCACTACCCCGGGCTTCCTACCTCCCCTGGCTGCCTTCGTCACTTCCATTGCTGTCACCAATGTTGTTGGCGCATTCATGGACCTGGTGCGCCCTGGGGTTCGTACAACAAGTACAACAACTCATGCAGCACTGCTCTTGCTGCCGATTGCCAGAAGCTGCAGCGCGCGGGCTTCACCGACGCGATGGAGGTGGACATGGCGGGCGCAGGCTTCGAGGTAGCCATCGTGTCTGCACCCCAGAATCCCAGAACACCGCGGCGCAGAACACCGACTTCATTGCCAGCAATTTACCGCGTTGCCTGCATGATTTCCTCTCTGCAGGATTGGAGGCATCATTCTTGGCGGCCTCGTGGACAGAAACAAAGAGTACAAGGTGTCTGATGCCAACTTGGCAGCCAAGTTCGCAGAGCCAATTTGCTTGCATACGCCCTGAAAAGACCACCCCAACATGACTTAATCCGACTTGTCGCATATTCCGAATGCATTCTTTCCATTTGCACTCCCTGTTCCTGCTGACAGTCCGTGACCATGTGGTGCATCGCTGCGACGCTCGTGGGCGTGTTGCTGCCCCTCTCGGCGAGAGTTGTTCTTTTGTTCCAGACTTTTACGCCTGTTGCGAAGTGAAAAGCCTGTCAGGATAAGCTTCGAGAAAATATGCTACTTTAAAAGAAGCTTCCCAAGAGAATGTAAAATGCAAGAATCCTCTGAGCCAGGCTTGGCATTGAGTCGCTGCCAAGGTTCGCATTGCCTTGCCCATGTCTCACCCCTCTGACTCGACAGTGTGTGCACAGTGTGCACACCATCTGACACTATCTCTCTGGACATGGACTCTTGCTTGTCGTTCAGGAGCGCTGCGCTCGTCGCCCTGCTAGCCATCGGCTCCTTTGCCGGCCCGGCCGGGTCCGCGAGGGCGAAGCGGGGCAAGAGTCCAGAGATGAGGGTCAAAGATGTTGGGAGACTTTAGATGTCTCTATGCCAGCTTCAAGTCTGGAATTCGGGATATGTAAGGTCCAGCCCATCAATGCGGAGCTCGCTGTGGAGGCAACGATTTTCAGAACCATTGAGTCTTTGAGTCGGGTCTTGTCTTCTGTTAGCAGCTGCGGATTCCCACTGCAGGTCACGTACCCCTGCGATGAGAACGCCATTGAAGCTGCACGGTTCCCAGCAGAGGTCTCCTGGTTTCAGATCGCTGCAAATGCCTCGCACGCTTGCCGCTGAGGTACAGCAGCTCTGCGGCAATTTGGCCCCAAGCTCAGAGGTCGCGAAGCTTGGGAATATCTGGGAATGTGAATGGCCCGAAGAAAGGTCTCTGCTCTGCTGGTGCCCGTTTGCGAGTGGGCTGCGGAGCTAAAGTTTTCTCTTCCAGGCGCCGGCTCTCAACCACACGACAAATCACTACACAGTGAATAAAGTGGTGGCAAGAAGCTGCCACACATGCCCTACAGAGCGGTCGCAAAAATCATTCCCATCGCTCCCCGCAGAATTCATGGCTTTTTGCTCGGTTTTGCTACTGTTGCCTTCTCTTCGTTGCCGGGGCAGGCTCGGACGGGTACCTCAGAGGCGACACGCTGCTGCTGTTGGGCATCCTGGTTGTGGCCTGCACCTCAAGCATACCTCAAGCCACAAAAGAAACAAACCCCCTCATCGTCTGTTGATGCCTTTTTGGGCTGTTTCGGTCTGCAAAACCCCGTGCGGCAAAGCAGCTTAGACTGCTCAAGCCCTATGCACGACCATGTAAATCGTCTGGAGGCAGACAACAGGTCGCTTGTTTCAGAATGCTCACGGACATCTCATTGGGATCTCACGGGATTGAGGGGGAAGGATCTAAAAGATCGGTGGGAGCTGGAGCCTGCCGTGTTATGCAGCCACGGATCTTATGCCATTAGGATGCTCTGTTCTGTCGCGACGCCTCGGCCGGCCAATTGAGGCAACATGCTGGAGGAAGCTTCAGGTGTGGGCTCGGACATGTTCAATGTGAAGGGATGAGCCTCTGAAGGCACCCCTCATTATCAACAACCCTTGGAGTACCCTAGGGAACTGCCTAGGGATCGGGACGAAGGGGGTCTCAAGCCGAAGGCTAGCAGCAGTGGCAGTCGCAGCGGATTGCGCTGACCACTCTTCAAGGAGAATCTTGCTTACAAATTCCAAAGCACCAAGACGCCAGGAGGAGCCGAAACCCAAGCCAACAACCCTGAACCAATAAGACCTGAATCCCCACGCCCATTTATATCTGCATATATATATATAAATGTATGTATATATACAAAAAATATACTAAAAAACACATCCACAAAACCTTCACAATCCACTGTAGGAGTAGAGCTCCATAGTCCTAATTTCTAGCAATCTAAGGTAGACCCTCGAGTTATACTGCGAAATATGTAGTCCTGCGCCAGCAAACTAACCTCAACATGCATGTAGTTCCAACATGCTTTGTAACTCCAAAACCTCTTACTACTTACCCTATCGACGTATGCCAACAACCTTCTGAAAGCCTTCTCTCGGAATACATGGTCTGTAAAAATCACGCAAATCGGACAAAAGATGGCTGCCCATTTTACTTTCTCGCCAATATAAAAGCACGCGTCTGACTGTGTGCACAACAAGCTCATCGTTTCCCCACCTCAGATTGCGGGATGCATTTTCGAAATGTTTGTCTGATGTCCGGCCGAAGTGTTATCAGCAATCTTACATCAAACAGACACACATCGTTTATGTTATGTTAGGATAACGCTGCCGATTTAGCGTCTAGAAACTTCATAGTCGCTGCATTTAAGACCCAAACGCACATCGCTTTGCGACACCTTATGACAACGTCAAATTTCAGTCACTGAGGAGCGGCCCGAACCTTTGGGCATCCCTGAGGGAGGTCGAGCTCGATCCGGGCCAATATGTCAAAGACCGAAGATCCAAGATTTCGCAGAAGCTTCTTTGGAGCAATCTTGGATCCGTGGCCCAGGCCAGGCCCAAGACCACAAGAAAAGGGCCGAACGTAGGGTTCCCACAGCCGCCTTTTTCTGTTTAAATTTGGGTGCCCCCGACGCTTGCTGGGAGTCCTCAGGCCAGGGGGCCTCGGCGGATAAAGGCTTCAGTTCCTCTCGAGTTGATCTCGGGTCTGCAGATTTGAGGGCTTTCTTGAAAACAGCTCAGCATGGCACAGCATCCTTCAACTTAAGGTGGGCGTCTACTTTTCTTCCTTCTCGGCACCTCTGCGGCGTACCGAAGTGGATCAGGTGCGCGGTGGTGCCATGTACATTCGCCTTCCAAATATCTTCCGGTGCCATCGCTGATGTTCATGGGGCGATGAACCGCAGGGCAATTGCATCACAGGGGATGAATCCGACGTTGAGCCCTCAGCCAAACAAGGGCACGACAGAAGAAGAAGGCCTCAGAGACTCAGCCGTGGAAATCCTCGAAGTGTCTGAAGTGTCTGAAGTGCGAGGTATTGCTCCCGCGAGCAGGGTCCAAGTGAGCAGCGGCTCAGACCGGCTCCGGAGCTGCACTACGCCGCCGGAGCACAAAGGAGTGTTTAAACTGGATCTCCTAGAATTTGGTCGCAAGTCCGTGTCTCAGCTTCGCTGAGATGGTCCTTTGCGGATCCCATTGTTGCGGCTCTATTGTAGCGACTAGCGCTCTCGGCGCAGCCAGTGCACTTCCAGTTACCTCTCAGTATAATTTAAAGTAGCCTCTCTGACTTAGCTCGTAAACCTCTGTTCAGAGGCCCCTCATGGTCTCGTGTAAGTCAATGCGTAAGTCAAGGTAGTTGAACAGTTTGGTCGTCGCATGCGCTCGCTGCCAAAGGAAGTCTGAGGCGCACCCTGCGCCCCGCTTGGCAGCTCCCTCCTCGCCATTCCGTTTTCTAGTTTCCACACATGAGGCACCCTTTGTGTGCACCGAAACTAGCAAGACGGTGTCCCACAAGATCGGGCATCAAATGAGGACAAAGGCTGTCGCTGTCAGTGCCTTTGCTTGCCAATCCTGAAAATGTGCTTAGTCTTCACTCGGTAGGAAGCGCTCCAGAAGTTTGGCAGTTTGGCCGTTACCACCGGTGCTTCACGAACATCAAAACAAACTTTCTGAGGCGGGCAGGGATCGCGGGCACAAGCTTAATCCATGTATCTTCAAGCGGAGGAGCCGCTCGTGTGGAACACACAAACCCCGAAGACATGTGAGAGTTTAATTGCACATCACAAGAAGAAAACGACAAAAGGAGCGCGCTTTCACACAGGGCGATGGCAGCGCGCCATGTCTCAGCATTTTCCAGGAGGCCGAGCTGTCTCGGCAGTTGCTGCAATGGAATGTGTGACTAGAAAAAAGCGCCAGTGACAGTGGCAAAAAGGACACGGATGAAGAGTGAACAGGGCTACTTCTGTGCATCCGACTTGCACGAACCTTTGTTACTGTAGATTGCAGGCAAGAGGCTCCCTCAGTGCAATATTCTAAAGTATTCTGGCATGGGGTGAAAGTATCCCAAACACGCCAAAACCGTGGCCTGTGCCGTTGAGATCCACGGAGCCTACCTTAAGCCTGCTTCTGTGGCCAGCTGCAATGTCACAAGGCTGAGACATGAGAGCAGGGGTCATGAGGGGGCTGTCGCATGGCAAACCTCCTGATGGGCAACAATGGCGCATCCTGCCTTGAACGTTTCCAGGAACCAACGTAACACGGTGCCACAAGTTCAAGTTGTCCACCTGCTGGCAAGACTGCATGCTACGCGTGAAGCACAAAGCGAAGTCCGAAGTCCCAAGGCCCACAGTACTCGCAGGATCTTGCAGGATCTAGCATCTTCCTCCAGCAGCCACATGGCTCAATTGCTTTCGTGTAGTACGGTGTAGTTGGACCGCCAGGGCCGCTAGGGGCTCCATGGCCGAGCTCGGCGCCAAGCTGAAACGACATGCCAACATGCACTGAGACCCCACTGAGACGTTTTCCCTTGAAGTAAAGCCGGCGATCTCTCGAGAGCACTCGGAGTCTCTCTTCTCTTCAGGTCTGCAAAACTGACATTCCTGGACCGTGGAAGGGCACAGAGCCGGGCACCCATGCCACCCAAAGGGGGCACTTTCAAGGAATGCGTCAAAAGGATGAGAAAGGAGAAAAGGTCGGCGGAGAAGTTGTTTGGCCCTCCAGGGTTCTCCCGAATTCAGGTCTACATTTCTCGCATTTTCTCTCCGACTTTTCCATGTTTTCTGAGGTCGGAGTGCCTTCGACCCTTCGCCTTTTGCGAGGGGCCTCTCACCCGAAGACTCTTGGCACGTAGTGCTGGCAAAGGTTCCTATGTGCTGGTCAGCTGACTGTGCCGAAAGTCAGTTGAAGCTCCCAGGACGTAGGGAACCTCTCGCCGGAGCACGGGCGCCTCTCCGCGTGGCTTGTCTTCCCGTTAAAAGGTGAAACGGAAGGATTTGGCACCTAGAGGTCGCCAGGTGCCGGGAGGTTAGGTTCAGAACGGACAAGAAATCAATTGGAACATGCACACACACACACACACACACACACACACACACACACACACGCAAGTCTTGGAAGAATCTCGCAAGGTGCGGCACTGGGTTGGAGGATTGGAAGCGCTGGGGCCCGTATGCCCGGAGCCTCTGTCACACTTTTCCCTCCCCACAATTTTGTTTATGTTCATGTGACATGTGCTATTGTAGTGAGACGCTGCCTCGACCCGAGACCTGAAGGGGCTTCTCTCCGGAATCCAATGAAGCCCCCTTCACCTTGGATTGTAGGCAAACTGCTGCTCACAAACCCTGCCGGTCCTGCTTCATAAGTGGGAAAAGATGAAGCATGTTGAGCCGAAACATCGCCATGGCCAGAGCCAACTCTTTCGGTCGCTTAGCAGTTCAGTCTAGAAAATCTCAGGTACGGGCCTCTCTAGTAAAAGATTGTGCAAGACTGGAAGAGGTTTTTGGTGGTGCCTTTTGAATCCTTTTCAATTTTGCGCTGTCTTGTTGTTCTGTCCTTAGGTGAGCGAGCGGCACTGGGGTACGTGCCGACCGGGCCCCAGAATCTCCAAAACGCGCACGGGGCATCAAGCACCATCCGATCTACGTGAGAGACATTCTGAAATCCGCTTCTCCGCTTCTCCGCTTGAACGTAACTTCTTCTCACACGCCAGCCTGTTCATGGCTATTCTACATACCGATCGACTTGTATTAACTATCGTGCAACGAATGAAAATGCTAGACAATTAGGTACCTTTCTCGCGACTTCGGCCCAGGTGAAGACTACGCCGGCCATGGAAACTCCTGGATCTACTTGCCCTTCGAGGTGCAAAACTCTTGCGCAGTTCGTGAAAGGCGCGAGATCTGGCCTCAACAGACGGCCCGAGAGGCGGCGCACTATGTGGCATATCGCTGGGGCGAGGCGCACCCTTATGCCCTGCGTAAGCGAGCATGCTCCTTGCGCGCGCGAGAGCGTGCGTGCACGTGCGTGTGCGCGCGTGCGCGCCCCGGTTCCGTGTACCACGTAGGACGGCCTGGCTGGCTGGTGCGACCGGTCCATGCACCTTTGCCTGGGCTTGGCTTTGTGGAATGGCAAGGCGAGGTGTCAGCGAGCTGCCCGCCATTCTCGTTGCTTTGCTGTTGGAAGTCTCTACGTGCAGGATGCCATTCTCAAGGACCGGACAACATGGAGCTTGTTTGCTTTATATGGTCCTTGGAAATGTGTATCGGATGCATCTCGCTGCCTTTCGGGTTGCAGCGCGCGGTGTTGCACGCACTCATACACCTCAACAAGCTTAAGCCCATGACCTCTATGTTGAATCCTATATAGGTTTCGCATGTAGCTGCAGAAAAATCCCAGAAGAGACGGGGCTCGTGCGGTTCTCAGATCACAAGCTGGGCGCGCCATGGCATTTGACTGGACAGTCCTGTGGAATCAAGTTCTGGCGCTTGCCATGAACTTGCAGTTGCTTGACTGGATTCGGCACATAGTGCATCTCTCGAGAGAGAGAGAGAGAGCGCGTAAAGTGTGTACAGTGTGTCTCAACGCCATACCCGTGCAAGTGAGGATCTGGTTTGTCCGCCAGGCGAGCAGCTTGAAAGCTTCAGGTTTTCTTCAGCCGGGAATGGCCATCAGATTCTTGTCTGTGGTAGGTGCTACGCAGACCCGCTCCACCGCTCTTCACAACAAGCGAAGAACAGGCAAAGTTGCAAACCGAGAAGGAGGATATTCTTGGAAAACTCGTAATCCAATGTGAAGACACGCGAGGAGTTGTGTTGACTCTCTGCGACTGCGAATACCTCAGAAAGTTCAGGACTGTTGCCTGTGTCTCGAGATCCTGGGGCCTGGAGGCGCGATGCTGACATTTGGTTCGCTGTTTGTTTGCCGTCGACTGCAGGTGTGGACCAGCTGCGGGCTTTGGTGGGTCCTTGGGCAGTCTGCGGCTACAACCTGATGCAGGTGCTCCGGGTGACGGCAGGGATCGGCGGGGATCGGTGGGGGCCCGTGCCGCGCATCTGAGGAATTCGGCAGTCAACGGCTGTCCTCTCCTCCTCAGCCGATTCGACCCGATCTTCTCGTGGTGCGGAACAAGGCAGAGCATGGCCTCAAATAGAGCCCCTGGCCATCGGGCTGGTCATCCGTGCTTTTCTTCTGCAGATTTGTTTCTATACATGTTTCTACTGCAGGCCTTCAGCATTAACTACGCGGACATTTGCATCCGCTGGGGGCTCTACGAATCAGCTCTGCGCTTCGTGGGCTGGCCTATCATCCCGGGCTTCGACCTCGCAGGCAGATGGATGCTACTGTTACTACTACTGCGTGCGACGGTGCGCTGCTGTGCTGTGCTCCACGGGTTCTGGAGCCTCTGCGCTATGCTCTGCCGCAAAACACTTACTACACGCCTACACGCAAGCTCACTTTTTGCAATGGACGGCACACAAGTACCACCCCCCAGGCACAGCAGCAGCTGGCGATATGAGGGGGGGGACACCTCGAACCACTCCTTGGACATAACACCCCGTACTCAAGGGGTGGGCGGGCAGGCTTTTGATGCAAAGCTGCACAGCTGCTGGCATTGCAGCAACACAACAAAGGAAAAGCTGACCAAGTCTCAACGCATCAAGCCAAAGCATGATGCAGAAGATGTAAGCGTGGGCGTAAGTGTTGGTAGCATGCACTGGGCGCGCAAGCTTTCCGTCCTTTCCAGGCGAAGTGGAGCTGGCCGGGGAGGACTCGGGCTTCGCTGTTGGCGATCGGATTTACGGTTGCAGTTTCTTCGGCAGCTACGCGACCCGACGCTTGCCTGGGGAGCGGTAAGCGGGCCGACATGGATCTACGTGCTTGAGCCATATGAGCCACATGTGCCACATTGCACATGCGAAGAGAGTGAGGTGTCGTTGTGCCCAAGTCCCAAGTTGTGAAGATGCCGGAGGCTGGTTGGCGCATAACCTAGATACAAGTACATGGCAAAGCCACGCCATCTATGTCCTTCTCAGTGCAGTCCTCCTGTTCGGTTGCCTTTGCTCGATTGCCTCCTTCACTGCAATTGCCCCCTAATAGCGCCCCCAGGTGCCCCCTTGTTGCAGGGCCTGAGCTTCGAGGCGGCGGCGGCGCTTCCGTGCGTTTTCGCCACAGCCCTGCATGCAGTGCACCTCTGCGGCGCCTGGCCCTCCGAACTCCTGGGAAAAGGCGCAAAGTTTTTGGAAGGCTTGTCTATAGGAAGCTTAACATTCGCGTTGAAATTCAGCGTGCCGACGTCTTTTCTCGCGCCGCGACACTCTGCGCCGCGATACATTTGATAAGCGTAGAGGTGACATAAGCTGACTTCCGAAACCCTTTGAAGCAGGTGTATCATGTATAAGCAGCCTAAGCAGCTGTATATTTTCCGTGTTTTGTGGGCAGCAGGCAGAGACGCCTTGGTGCACTCAGCGGCTGGAGGTGTCGGAGATATGCTTTGCCAGGCGCGGTGCGAAAGAAATGGGGGCGGCATTGGTGGTTTTGCGGTGGTTTTGCAATTCTGCACTGATGTATCATATGTATCTTCACAAGAAGATACACGAAAGGCCTCGCCGCTCGCGACGTGTGCTTTGTTTTCTGATTGTGAAGCCAACACTTTCTGTTTCGATTCTCTCGAATGCGAAACTTGCTACGCTCCTTCGTCACTGCAGATTCTGCGCATTTGTGGGCTTCGCGTGGTTGGCATCGTTGGACAGCCGAGCAAGGTTAAGTCCTGCAAGGCCGGGATGTTGTCGGCTGCACGCCTGCACGCCGCATGCTGCATGCCGGATGTCGCTCTGGAAATACGAGCAGGCAGATGTCGTCATCGACAAGTCCAGCGATGACTGGGCCTCCCACTCAGTGAGGCTCGAAATGGCAATTCGACACTGTACTGCGCTTCCATCGCATTGCGTGCTCCTGAGGTGAAAGCTGCCCGGCAGCATGCACCCAACGGCTATCGTGCCATCTTCGATGCCAACGGCGTGGCCACTCTGAAGGACGGGAATCTGAGCGGAAAAGGTTGAATCCAACAAATTGTCACATTAGAGTCACATGTTGAGACACGAATCACTTTCATCTCCCCAGGCCTCCTACGAGCTCCTGGCCAGGAACGGCCGCTTGGTCGTGTGCCCTTGGAAGACTGCACAGAAGCAACGAAGGTTAGGAAGGGTACAGAATGGTACACGCTCTACACATAAGTCCCCAGAAAGTCACACAAATTGACAAACTGTGGAGGTACGGCTTCCACTCCAATTTGCCGAAGTGCGATGGCGGTCTCGGGACCCTTTCGCCATGGAACTGGGTCAAAATGGCTCTGGACCTCGCAAGGACGCCACGCTTCGTGGCCTGGCCAGAAAAGCTGGAGATCTCGCCTTGCGTTTGTCCGGATTTCCGGAACTTCACAGTCCTGCTTCTCTTGCTGTCGCCCGGTTCGCTCCACGCGTGTCGGTGCAGGATCCTTGCAGTATCCCTGCGGGAGCTTGTCCATTCTGTAGTCCGCGAATAGAGCTCTAAAGAGAGCTTAGGCAGCTTATAAGGAAAGGCGCACGTTAGGCGCTAGCTTGCGGCTGCGCCCCTCTGAGCGGCAGGATGTATTGCTTCCAACCCTGTAAAGCCGAGGATCCGATGGACCTGACCCTGGACACAAAGGTGGGGATACTTATTTGGACTTCCCTGTTTTTGCACAAACGAACGGGGCCTAATCAACTCAGGTAATCTTACCTCGATTAGATGACATGCAGGTCGGTGAAGTGATATGTTTTCTGCAGTTCCAGCCCTGTGCAACCGCATCATTTTCAGCATCACCAGCGAGCTACGTCAAAGGCTTTACACATATTTAATTCTTTAAGTGTTCTCCTTAGTCGCCCTGAACGTCAGCCACCGAGGGCGCCCTGGATGCGTCGACCGTCACCAACCCGTAAACCCAAAATGGCGGATGCCGCGAGTCAGAAGGACAATGTGACCATACATCCTTTCCATTGCTCTCTTGACAGCCGGCTGTTTCGAGCTGTGTTTTCGCAGAAGAAGGCCTTTGTTGAAGACACGACAGCGAGTAGTTACTGCCTCGAGTGGTCAGCCATGCTTTGCGGTGCTACATGGACTCATCCCGTCATTGCCAAAGGGCCCTGCCCAGTAGGTTTTGAGGATCGGTGTTTTGAGGTACAGAACACCGCAGGAGAACCGAACACCACCGTGCAGCGCAGGAAACCGGACGCCTCTTGGGCAGACCGGTTCCATTAGCTCACTGCGTCTTCTGTGCATAGTGTCCAACGACGGGGACTGACACTAGAGTGGCGAGGGATAGCGTGCGAGATGGACAGGTGAAAAAAACGGCTTTAAACGCACACTCCTTTAATTTGATTTAGCAGTTTAGCAAATACGACGGCAAAAGAACACTCCAAACCATGCCTGAAAGGATCTGCCAGCGGCGCGGGGTGTAGGTGTAGAACCAGGCTTCATGTTTAGTAAACATGCTGTGAGATCTGTGAGGCCGTTCTGGGCTTCAACTTGCCCCTTGGACCGAGACGTCCCAAATCTCAACCCACATGCTCAACGTGTCGAGTCATGTGCAAAGATTTAGCAAGAGCTGCATTACTTTGCCCGGCTGAGGAGCTTCTTTGCCGATGAGACAGAGACTTGCGGCAAGTACTTTGCACAGATGGGAGAGTGGCTGGACGCTGGCAAAATCACAGCTTCTCCACCGCAATGTGCAAGGCTTGTAAGCCCTGTGTGCAGGCCAGGGACTAGATTGAAAGCAGAACTGTGGGTGCCGATGTGTTCTTGGTCAGGTACCTCCGGTGCAAACCTTCAGATTGTCAGGGGCGCGGGATGCTCACACTGCCTTGACCTCTGGACGAAGCGTGGGCAAGCTGGTGGTTATGACCTGACAAGACAAAAAAGATCTCCGACGCGCAGTGACGTGTAGTGCCGTGCAGTGCCGTGCAGCCTGAGAAATCACACCGCAGCATGTCGCCTCACCAACACTTTCTCACCGCACTTGGCACGCTGGTTTTGTCAACAGGAGCGGCTTTACGGACTGTCCAACCCTCAAGGCAATCATGGCGAGGACGTCAAGGAAGAGGGGATTTCTTTGCACATGAATTGCACGTTTGGAAGAGGGGTACTGGCATCGGTCAGGAGTTGTACTACTACCTGGATGCCACGCCTACTCACAGCTACATGAAAATGCTGTACAAGTATCCACAGGCCAAGCCCCAGATGCCCAGCAGATGCCCAGCAGATGCCCAGCAGATGCCCAGCAGATGCCAGAACTCCCCCCCCCCCTCCCCTCCTTCCCTCCTGACGCCCCCGAGGCAGCGTATCCCTATGATGAGCTGCGGCGGGTGAACTTCGAAAGGAAGCAGGATCCGATGCTGCTGTGCCCCGGCTCTGTTGCATTATGCGATTGTGTTGCATTGTGGGAAAGTCTCCGGTCTCCCTTGGAAATTGTCTTAGACATTGATTTGGTCTGCAGATTCGACGGTGTCAGGGAGTATGAGCTGCTTGACACGGGAATCCTGGACAATAACAAGTACTTCGACGTCGTCGTCGAGTGCGGAGCCCTACTTATGCCATGCCAACAGCCCGGCCACGCAGCCGGCCACGCAGCCGCTCGTGACTCGCAAGGTACGCGCAAGCCGACGTAGACGACACGCTGGTGCCAGCCTATCCAGCCTACATGTCTGTGCATATCAGCAAGTTGCGGCATCTGTGCACGCGCCTGCTTCTCCTGAGGTGCAGATTACAGCATACAACCGTGGAGACGAGGAGGTTAACGACTGGCTTGCACCATGTGCTACAATGCGCACTCGAACGCGCACTCGACGCATCGCGTTGCAGCCGTTGCACATATGCAGGTGCCCGAACTGTAACTGTCGTTGTGCTACTCTGTGTGTGTGTGGTTTCTCCTAAGTACAGGTACCAGAGGAAGTTGTTGCTACTCTGTGCGCGATTTCTCTTTCTAGCGTGAGCCTGCATCTGATTTTGTTCCTCCGCGCGCATTGTCGCAACTTTGCAAAAAAGCAACTCGTCCTCGTCCATGGTTTGCAATTTTGGGAGAGAATGGGGGACGCAAAGCTCTCCCATGAAAAAAGCGGATGGTATCGCACGATGAGGGATGTAAGTAGCCAGTTTCTTGTTGTCTCAGTGCTGTTGCATGATGAGATGGCTCCTTGCAGGATTGATGGGTGGGCCTTAGAGGACATGTCAGCGGCATTGCACGATGAGATGGGGTAGCCATCTTCTTGTTGCCTCAGTGCTACCGCATGAGACGCCTCCATGACATGGTATAGGGATCATTCCTGACGCCTCTCGGCCGAAGCCGAGGCGGACGTCAGTACAGTATCACTGGTATTGAATGATGGGAGACTGTTAACATTGGTAGCACATCGCACAAGCAGAGGCCTAGGGCCTAATTAGGGATTCAGAACATGATTGAACTCAGCAAGAAAACGGTGTCATGGCATGACGAGTAGGCTGCAGGCTTTCCTCAAAGACAAGTCTCTAAAGTCGCCTCTTTCCTGTTGCCTTCCATGACTTCCATGTCATCGCGTGCGGTTTCAACACGAACCAAGGCCAAGGTCTGCCAAGGAACCACAAGGAACCCTCTTGAAGGAGCTCGGAGCACTTCGTTTGAGAATCACTGTGGTTTATGTGGTTTCAGGGGCAACCCCAGATTCATGCGACTCGGGACAAGAAGGCTGGGCAACTCCGAGCAAATTCGAACGCGCGCTTCAGAAGGCTGCGTTTCCCATGATACCTCTTTCAAAATCAAGCGCAGTCGCTGCACGCGATGACACTGAGGACGGTCGATTCCATAGAAGCGTGATGACACGGAAAACAGAATATCCACAACAGAAGAATGGGTTAGCAAGTCCAGCTGCTCTCGCACGAGCGCGCAAGGCGGAGCTGTGTCTCCTCCCGCAGGCGGAGGGGCTTCTCTGGGGCGTGCAGTCACATCACATGTGTCGGCACATGAGTCGGCTTGGTGCAGAAGGCCTGGTTCCGCAACACCTGGTCTTGGAAGACGGGCAGCGCCAAACCCGCCATGAAGTATGTCCCCAAGTTTCGGATGATAGAGATCACGTCACTCCGCCGCCGTTTCACCATGACCCTTTTATGACTATGTTTCACCATGTTATGACAGGAGAGCTGTGCGTTCCCTGTGTGTGCACTTTGCTGTCATACAGCCGTGCTGTGATCTCTTGGCCAGGCATGATGTGCTTGGCAACTTCCATCTGCATGTGGATGGAGATCCAGAGGCTCGCGGCCAATCGGCATGCGGCCACAGGTCTCTAGCACAGTCTAGCAGCCGAGTAATCTACAGGTGATCTTTTGCGAGAACGAAACCAACGATCAGCGGGTGAAGGGAGGCTGGAAAACGTGTTCCGTCGTGTTCTCTCCGCATCTCTCCGTGCTGGAGGCGCGCTGAGCCCCTACAAGGCACATGCTCTTGTTTCTCACAAGCGCCAACTCGGGGGCTCGGCGGCCACCTTCCAGTTTTTTGCCGAGGAGCCGGCGCCCGTGGAGCAAAGCAAGGCTCGCCTCGCCTTTTTATTCCCGCCGCCTGTGCAATCACTTGATGTATTGGAGATCAGGGGTATCCCGGATTGGAATCAGAGATTCGAAGAGCATGATTTCAATATGTGAAAGAGAACTTATTATGAGGCCGAGTCGGTCCCAGGGGACCATCGGAGCCTGGAGCCCAATGCTTGGTTCGCCATTTGGCGCAGATTCGGCGGAAACCTGGGCCCGGAGCCTCCGAAGTACGCCGGGGCGCTCAGAGAGCTTCCTTCAACGCGGCCACCCTTGAACGGCGGCGCACCACCACCACCAACAACTCCCCCCTTTACCCCGGCACAGAAATTAAACAGGATAGTGCCAAGCAGAGCATGTGTTCTGCTGCGTATCTGTGGCGGTGTCATATGTAAGCCTGTATCTGCACGTTGCGGCTTGCTGCCCAGGGCCAGGAGACGGGCCTGGACCAGGGCTTCCCACACCACCTCAGCCACGCCAAAGGACCTTTCAAGGACAGCGTCCCAGATTCCGCCTGTGAGGCGAAAACTTATACCCTCGATTTCAGTCGTCTAACCCGGAGCGGAAGAAGATGCATCTTAGCCCCTCAGGATGGCTTTCACGATTATGTCATCCGCGGCGACAAGGTGTTGCGTGGCCAATGTTGTTTGTTATTCTTTGAGTCATGTGGAGTTTAACACCATTTTCCAAGGGCCAGGCGCAGCAACATTTTAATGTTGCTGTCGAACCGCCGCGTGGATGAGTGTGGATGAGTGTGGTATGTGTTTCTCCGTCTTGGAGGCAGCCGTGTCCACCAGCAACGGGACCAAAGCAGGCCTGCTAACGAGGCGAGGGTGCAGCACGGATTGCACGTCCCTGGTCTCATGCTTCAGAATTAGCAGTTGAGCCATTCCGTTGCTGCGGCGGACACACGTAACACGCGTAACACGCGTAACACGGACTGAACATTGTTTTATAGACCTCTTCCATGAGCTGCGCTTCCGGGTCAGGCACAAAGTGGCCGCAGGCAGTCACGTGAGCTTTAGATTGCGCTTGACCTGTGCGGACAAGAGACGGCACCTCAGCCTTCGAGTGCTTCGAGTGGGGCGTAGCCCTGATCCAAAGATCTCTGGGCACTCACTTCGCGTCGGAGCCCCCAGTCCCGTTGACAAGGCTTCCCACCCAACGGGGCCTTCTTGGACTTCGATGCGACCCTCCAGTCCCGGAGGGATGAGACCGACAGGCCAGAGCACGAAAAAGAGGGGCGCTCTTACCTACGAAAGGGTTGGGGAGGGGGGAAGGGGTACTCCGAGTAATGTTGCACTGTCTTTAGTATGGGCCCCCCCCCCCCCCCCCAAACAAATTTGGGACCCTCTATAAGCTCTATAAACGCATGGCCCGGCGACCCCCCCAAACAAATTGGGGGGGGGAGGGGAACCGCCCTCGGGGCCTCAAGCCTTCAGGACCTCAAGGCCTGAAGCTTTCCAGCGTTTAAGATTCCTGGAGCCCAAGGCCCTAAACACAAACCCTTAAACGCAATTCATCCGAAAAAAAAACTAGGTATTATAGAGGATAGCCAGACAAACTTGCTAAAGACAGCCTGACCGGCCCGTGGGCTACCTATCACAAAGTTTGTTTGGGGCCTCGTTTCGTAATGAATTTCCATAAGGCTTTACATGGAACTGGCCGGGCTTAGATTTCTGGATTCTCTGCGCTCTGGCCCTTTAAGATTCCTGGAGCCCAAGCCCTCAGGGCTTCAAGCCTTACTGCGTAAGCTCTTAACCCAAAACACAAACCCTTAAAATGGAGGAGGAAGCCGGACGTCATTTGGACACCTTGCCGGCCGGCGCCGCAAGCTCTGAACAAAATCACACTGTGTCGAATCGGGCACAAGCCCATTGGCAATAATATGTGGCTACCCGTGTTCGATATTTGGTCCTTGGCGGGGCCCACTTCTCTATGGCCACTCCAGCTTGCTGAAGCAATGGGGCTATGTGCCAATGCGCCCATCGGGAAACGTCCGGACAAAAACTTGTGACAATAGACGGTGCCCCGAACAAACTCGGTTCGCTGAATAGATTTTCGAAACTTGTGTTTATAGACAGTCCTTGTACTTTCAGCCAGTCCATTATTACTCGGTACTCCGATTTTGAGGGTGGGGGGGGGGGGGGAACAGCGCTCATGCCGTGGGGTTTAGAATTGCATTCATGGCTCTACAGTTGCGTGCTTTCAGTTGCGAGCTTTTGGAGTGCTTGCAGATCTTGCAGTTGAAGAGGGTCTGGTCTGGTCACAGATCACCAAGTCCTTACCAAGAAAAGCTCACTGCAACCTGAGAATCAGAGTTGCTCCCAGAGTGTTTGCCGGAATAGTCCTCCAAGCAGATACTCCATAGTCCCTTGCAGGTTCTATGGCCTCCTGCAGGAGGACATTACATGTCCCGAGCGGCGCCTTGTCCACCGCCAGGTGCCTCTGCTGATCTTGGAACAGCATAAACATCTATACATGCCTCTACGCACACACACATCAAAATATGCATGTATAGACAATGTACACTATAGATGCAAGTCTCTTTGATCATCATAGATATATATATATATATATATATATATATATATTGTATATATCTATATATACATACATGTATGCGTGTGTGTGTGTGTGTACATATGTAGTCTCGAAGTATATGAAGCAGCCTGCATCTTCCAATCAGCGAAGCAGACAAGCACAGGTGATTTGCCGGCACTTGGGGGGGGAATGCTGGGGAGCGAAAGAAGAGTTCCCCCGGACTCCTCGCCCACCGCCCCCGCCCGAATCTTCAGCCCCTCGATCCGAAGCTCGAAACCATTTACGGACCGCGCCACGCATGTCAAGGCTGTGGTTTTTTCTCCCAGACGCGGTTTTACCCACAGCTCTTGTGCAGTCGTTGGGTCCTGCGCCGCTTCACAAGCAGGCAGGCAGGTCCACATAGAATAGAAACCATTTAAGCAAACGCGAGTGCAACCGTTGTCCCCCCGAATTCTGATCCCACGTGTAAAATGCTCATGGCTCAAGGCTCTCGCTGGCATGGTCTGGACCAAGCAGAGCCTCGGCTATGCTTCTGCTCACATCCCCGAATCTGGATTCTTCCACAGGGGCTTTAGATGTAAGCCAGTGAGGCATATAGCCCTGTGTATGGTTGGGCAATGTCGGATTTGGTTCATTCGTTTTGTCAACCCGCATGCGGGTTAGCCAATGTGCCAGACTCTGGAGGTTGTACTACTACGACATTCGATCCTGGCTTTCAGGCAGCAAGAAATCAACACACAGTGTCTTGGGTCCTGTCTCGTCACATTTGCAGGTGACGAGGGTCGTGGAAAGCCCCCAAGCCGTGGTCGGCTCCTAAGGGGGAGCAGCAGCGACTTTGGGACCACACGCAGATACAGCTGCAACAGCGGGAAACGTCTTCAGTCAGAGGTGGCCGGAACGAAGACTGGGACCACCTCTACAATGCCGATGTGATCTCCATGCCGGTGCCGTGCTCTGACTCACTGTATGGGCTTGAGCAGAAGATGCATGTGTCTCGCCTTCTTGACAGGACAAGTGGGAGTATCCCTGGTATGCCACATGGGCTTGGGCCTTACACTGTCATAGTAACGCCTCGCAGAAATTGGGCCGCACGACTGGACGTCAAGAGCAAAAAGGTGACAGCGAACCCAGACAACGCAAATTCTAATCTTGATCTTGCCTCCGCGGCGAGAGCGTTGTGCAGTACAACGAGACTGCCATGAGGCCATGCGCCAAGGGTGTCCGGTCCTGCGATGATATTCGGGTCCGCGTACGCAATACGGATGGAGGGCCTGAGACGCGCACACACGCACACACATACACACACATACACACATGCACACACCCACGCACTCACGCACGCAAACACGCACGCACGCACGCGTGCACAAGCATGCACATGCACTGCATAGATCAAGCCTTCTTGAAACATCCGCAATGCAACGTGCCAAGTTCGTTTGAAGCACGCGTCCATTCATTCTAATTTGATTTAAATTGTTTAGGGCATGTGAGTCAGTCACAGATTTGCTCCTAGCATGGCATAATTTAGTTCAGTCTCACCTGATTTTTGGGAGACACTTTATGGAACTTGTCCTCAAGTACTGTTAATCATCGTTTTCTGCAGGTTTTGTTGTTGCTCGAGTTTTGAGTTGATACTGTAAAATTTCAAGAATTAGTTGAGGCCATCCACGCGTCCGGGCCATCCGTCTGTAGAAAGCTGTTTCATCAAAATAGTCGTGCTGTGCTTGCAACATTTGCACATCGACCGCCTCGGCCTGGCCCTGCCACTTGTTCTGGCCATGGGTGTTTCAGTGAATCGAGAAGGGCCCTTCGCCTTGGATTGGGTTTCCGGGAAGTTGCCAACAGCTCCTCGCAAACCTTGTTCAGTTTGACCCGAAACATCCCGAAACATTACGTAATTAACCAATTGGCAAAAATATGTATCACCCACAAACGTTTGCGGCAAACGCAACTATAGGATTTGGCCTTCCATTGCCTTCCGCTGGCCCTAGTGGACGCCCAGTTTGCCAAGGACACGCGATGCTCCTGTGGCATGTGAGCCATCGCCAGTCCTGTGTATCGCGAGAGTGGCCGTAGAATGTAAGCAGGAGCAATTGCGGCTCATCACGTTGGTGCCACCGGCCTGCTTTGAGGGACACACCCTTCTGTCCGGTTCTGCCCGCATGCCATCATGTGCTGAAGCTCGGCATAGCTAAGGAACGGCCGTAGCCTCAGTCGAAGCGGTCAGCCGGAGTTCTTGTCATATGGGTTCTAAGCCACAACACAGCAGAATCACAGAGAAAGGTTTATGCATCCGAACGGGCAGTTTCCAGCCTACGAGTGGAACTTCAACGACGTGAACCCACCCGTGCATGCCCGACGTCCAAGAGTTTAGGAGTTGATTGGGCTGAGAGAGTGTGGCTTGATGCGTGGCCTGCTTTGTGGAAATGCGAAGAGCGGAGCGGACGGTCTCAAGGCATGGGCGGTGTGGAGAGTCTTCCAGATGGACCGCAAGAACCGGGCGGACGATGGAGACTTGAGTGCTGGGCTCACACGAAACTGATTGTGTCTGATTGTGATATCCCATGGCTACTCGACAGCACTACAAGAAATTGCAAAGCATCGATCTCTCTTTGGCAGGTTTCTTGGAAGAGCTCTTCCACAAGCTCATGCGTCGCAGCCGAATCTACTTTCAACAAACATCACGAGAGACCATCACGAAAGACCATCAGAGGCTCAACTTCACGTGGTGGGTGAACCGCAAGGATGCCGAGGGGAGGACCGCCCCTGCTCAAGCGTGCTGCTAAACCACTACGAAGAATCATGCATTCAGCATAGATTGCAATAGCGAGTTATCCGATATAATTGCAACAGCGCTATACTTTCACCAACTTCGTTGTGTTTGAACGACGCGGCATGGCAGGAACATCTTTCAGGGTGGCTTCCTAGGCGCGGAGCCCACCTGCAAAGCTTCAGCTCAATCTCAGCTCGTGAGCTTGCAGGCCTAGACAACATTGGTGTGGTGGATCGTAGCCAGCCATTTCCCAATGGCCAGGGCCCCAGCGAGTCCCAGGTCCCAACGTGCCCCAGCCCATCTCCAGAGATGCTGGACCATGTCCATAAGGTGGGATGATCAACCAATCTGATGGCACGAGCTGGATGGCCTTCTACAGCCTGGCCCCCATTGCCCTTAAGTTGGGCCCCCCCAACCCCCCAGGTCCCAAGCTTTGTGGAACAGCCGGGGCAGAGGCCTGACGCTGATGCGCATGGCTTTGGAGTTGGCCCTCCACAACCCCGTGTGCGCCTGCTACCGCCCGCTCTTTCGGGAGTGCTGGGGGCGTTCAAAGTTGAAAGTTGAAAGGTTGGGGTTCTCTTCGTTCTCCGCCAGCAAGACATTATACTGGCTACAAGGAAAGGCGACAGGCCCGGAATGCAACGAGCAAAGGCGTTTGGTGGTGCGTGGGAGTTGCAACCAAGGTCACCGTCCGACAGAACATATTATTATCCCAATTGTATCATCTTGACATCTCGTCTAGCGACAAATCCTGCCACCCAGCAAACATGGTCCCTCGCCTTGACGTCATAGATTGGATGTCTTTCTGTGACTGTGAGGGATTGCGTGGAGTCCGCTTGTCCATGGATGCAACCCGGGGGTTCATTCCCATGACTGTGCTACAACACTTGAAGGGCCCATGAAGTCAAGAATCCCCTCGTCCGAAGGCGGCCTGAAGCCATCCCAAACTTCATGTGCTGCTCTGCGTTGTCTCCCGGAGTCTTTATCAGGCTTCTAACGATTTGTTCGTCTGACCTGTTGTTCCTTGTCAAGCGGATGGTTGAGCACTTGAGCTCGACAAATATATCTCCCCAGCAAAGACCAATACGCATGGCAAGAACAACCACACAAATGGGTGTCTTATCGAGTCTTCTCAGCCATGCTTGCCACACCGACCAGTTCCCTTGAACGCAACAATGGGAGGTCACACTACTTATGTGGGTAAAGCACGCAAGATTCTGTCATTCACATTGCATTCCAACATTGTTGTGTTCGTAGTTCTTTGCACTGCGATGCTCCTCATGTTTGCGTCTGCAGGTACGAAAGCATTGCCTGTAAGTTCCTGGAGCACTTCCTTCACATCGCCCGCGTCACCCGGCTGAGTGGGCTTCTATCCCAATAGTCTGGCACACTGTATCACTTGTATGTTGTATCTTGTATGTATATGTACATATATATATATGTATGGTATAGCGATGCATATGTTTTCTAAACCGACCGGGGGCGGTTCAGGACTCCTGCTTGCTTGCTCAGACCTGCGAACAGCGTATCGGCATGGCGCACAAGGGATCCGAGCACCCTGAACTTCTGCAGCTGTGCCAGCTGCTGCCAACTTTCTGATTTCCCAGGCCATGACAAGATTGGCAGACAATGCCGAGCACGGCCTTTGGGATCCCGTGGATGAGGCGCAGAGTGCTGGACGCAGTGCTTGGGTCGACTTTTGGAGTCTATGCGTTGATGCCTCGAAGCGTTTTTATGTCAAGTCTGGGCCAGTTCTACTATGATGTGCTGGCCAATCCGGACGGAAGTCGTGCCCTTGCCCCAACAGCGCCGAGTAGTGCCGCCAAGTACTGGAGCCCGAGCTGGGAAAGGAGGCTGCGTGAATTTGGGATCATTGGGATAAGGAGCCGATCAAGCTGCGTTCCATCGTGGGCCTGATCCCGCTCTTTGCAGTAGAGGCGAGGGTGGCGAGGGTGGATGGAAAAGGGCACTGAGACACAGTTCCTGCAGCCTTTAAGGGGTGGGGGAGTTTCCTTTTCTCTTTACTTGCAAGGTGCTGGAGCCCGTGTGGCGGCCCAGCCGCTGGCAGCTGGTATTTCGGCTGCGTCTGTGCACGACGAGCATGCCGTGAGGATATGCTGAAGAAGCTGCCGCGCTTCGCCAGCCAGACGCCGCAACGCTCAGAGCGAGCGATGGGAGTTTGGCTTTGGGCTTTTCGGGATTTCGAGGGCAAGACTCAGGCAATGGCTTTTCGACAACCGCCCCGACCTGGCCTGCTTGGTCTCGCGCTTTGTGGAGGCCAGAAGGGCCAGAGAGCCTCCTGGGATGGCACTCACATGTTTTCCGTGCCGATCAACTTGTGTTCTTTCACGCAGCCTGGCCGCGGCGAGCGCCGGCTCCTCTCCCTTCTGCGAGGATACAGGAGCTACAGAATGAGAAGTGCAAGCGAACCAAAAAACAAAGAGGGAACAGAGCACGAAGATCACGAAGAGTGCACAGTGACAGAGAGAGAGAAGCAAGCACAGCAGAGGATGTTTTGAGCCATGCCTGAGGATGCGTGCCTTGCTGAAACGGATGCTCGACCCGGCCGAGTTCCTCTCGGACTTCGGCATACGAGCACGGTGCCCAGCGGCCCAGCAGCCGCGGCGGGGACCCAGAGAGGAGATGGCCATGTCACGGTTTTGCCTGTTGCTTGCCTTGATGGCTTCCACTCGAGCCTCTTTGGGGCAGCTTGACATCTGTGATGTGCATAGCAAAGATCCGTCAGGCCCATGCTGGCAGCCCAATGCTCCAACAAAGCTGGACCCCCCCCCACCCTCTGCCAGAAGAGAGAAACACGAAAACACCTATTCTCAGTACTCCTCAGTACTCCTCAGTACTACTCAGTCTCAGTAGCAGGGAATCTGCATGGTGCGCTCGTTTCAGCCGCGATGATTACCAACGATGCCCTTCTTGCATCGGTGAAGCTGCTGGCCTCGGATCTGGATGGCACTCTCCTGGACCCGCATCACAAGCCGGCCCGCCGCCTCAAAACAGAATGAAACAGAACGTGAGACAACCGGGTGGGGAATGCGGTGAATGCGGTGCCGACGGTGGGGGGGAAGTGAAAGCTTGTGTGAGGCACAGGGCACCTTCGAGGCGATTGCAGAGTACCAGCGCGCCGGCGGTTCGTTCGCAGTCTGCACAGGACGAGACCTAGGTTCCGCTCGAGGCTGCAGCTTGAAAGGGCTGCTTTGCTTCGCATCCTGCGACACTCATATTGCCCCCACATTGCAGACTTTGACAGCTGGACTTCTTTCTGAGAGGTGTCTTAACGTGCTTTTCTTTGCTGCCGCATGCCTCCGAGAGGTGTGCTCAAGGGCCTGGACATCGATGTAATGCCGGGCGTTTACTTGAACGGTACCACAGTCAAAGGCGCCCCGCAAGCTTCTAACTTCCAGGATTCCCCCCCCTCGAAAGAGGCAACAGAGCTCTTTCCCCGAAGTTTAGTTTCGCACCGAACGTGACTCGAGGGCGTGCCAAGCCTGGGCAGGGGAAAAGGTGGCCCTCAAGACTTCTCGGGACCAACCTTCCCCCAAGCCCCACGAACGAGACAGGGAGAGAGACAGCAGGCATCTCCTTTTCGGGAGAGAGAGAGAGAGAGAGAGAGAGAGAGAGAGAGAGAGAGAGAGAGGGGGGGCCGCTAATTAGAGGGTGAGGCCCGGAGTGATCCGCTAAGGGACTAAGGTGCCAAAGGGGGGCCGATGCCGGGCCTCCGACAGGTGGGGCTATGGCGGCAAATCCGGTTGCCTTGCGAGCGTTAGCAGGAACTGAGCAGCAGACGGACTGGGGCTTGCATCCGCGCGGGGGGGGCCACCCCCATGCCCCAAAGACAGAAAGAAAGAAAGAAAGAAAGAGAGAGAGAGAGAGAGAGAGAACTAAAGGGGGACCATCATTGAGGGGGGCATCGTAGGGGGGATCATTGCCGAATACTCGGGGGAAACCACACACCTCGCGATGAGAGAGGGGCTATGAAAACCGTGGCCCTTCCGAACAAACTGACCAGTGGACTTCGCGCGCCCTTGGGGCAGCCTTCCCTTCGGGGGGGGGGCTATGCGTGCAGGAAAGAGAGAGAGAGAGAGAGAGAGAGAGAGAGAGAGAGAGAGAGAGAGAGAGAGAGAGCAGAGCCGCGAACACCGCGGCTGACTCGCATGACTCTGGGGACTTGCGCGCCCTCCGGGGCAGCTCTCCCTTCGGGGGGGGCTAAGCGTGCAGAGAGAGAGAGAGAGAGAGAGAGAGAGAGAGAGAGCGAGCGAGGAGGAAGGAGGAAGAAGAAGACGAAGAGCTGGAGGCAAAGGCGGGGAGCTGCTGCGGAACCTGACACTGCCCGTGGAGCTCCTGCACCGCATGGTCGCTTGGGGCCGAGACCACCGGGACAAGGCGACTGCACGTGGCGCCTTTGGAGAGAAGGAGAGAGAGAAGCGAGAGAAAGAGGAGGATTGCGGGACAGGAGGACGAAGGGAGATTGGGATCCTAAGCATCGTGTGCTGAGAGGCCTCCATCCTTTTCGTCGAGGGCGACGCGCACTACGCCAGGCCCCCAGGGAGGCTTCCAGGCCGAGGGTTGGGGCTCTCCCCCTCTCCCCTCTCCCCTCTCTCTCTCTTCTCTCTCTCCCCTCTCTCTTGTCTCTCTCTCTCTCTCTCTCCCCTTTCTCCTCTCTCTCTTGTCTCTTCAAAAAGCAAGTTATACAAAATGAAGAGTTGAAGAGTGCCCTCTGTCTAACATCTAAAGTACTTTGCGGAGGCTCTGCCTCTGCTCTGCTCAGGTCATGGACCGCTCCGAGGAGTACGCCTTGTTCATGCACAAGCACCTCCTGGAGACTCAGACTCAAGTCTCTGCCCCCCAGATTCACGAGATTCACCTCTCTCACCTCTCTCTCTCTTCCTGATTCCCCTTCTCTCCTCTTAAGGGGGAGGAGGGGGGAAGGCTCAGTTCATGCACTGCTCTCTCTCACATCTTTGCCTGTTGCAGGACCCCGACCCGCTGGAGGTGAAGGGCGGCTGGAAGGAGGAGAAGCCGGAGATCCCTCTGAAGGTAAACATGATGCGCGTCATCTGCAGCCCGGACAACATGGACGAAATCAAGCCCCAGGAGCGGTTCTGGATGTGAAGCTCTCTAGGCGAAGGTGTGAGGTCAGCCAGTCAGTACTGGGCCATTCCATCGAAGCAGAGCTTCGGAGCAGTGCACAGGTGGCCGACTGCGTCAAGGGCTTTGCAAACTATGCGCAGTCGCTGCCCACCACGCCGCCCGTCCGAAAAGTCCCGAGGGAGAGCCCTCAGGAGCGGAGAATCGATTTGAAGTAGAGAAGTTCATGCCCAAACTTCTACGCCAGAGCCATCTGCCAAAAGTGCACAATGCCAGAGCAGCCTTTTCCGACCGACCATAAAGATGCCAAAGTTGCAGGCCGATGTTCCGGAATCACACCATGCTTTCCAGACCGTTTGGTCCTACCGACCATAGAGATATGTAGAGATCCCACAACATGGTTTATTGTCCCACGTTTTTGGTGATTGCCTTGCTTTTTTGGCGTTGTTTTACAGGTTTTACGAGCATCCGAGGGCTTGAAATTAAATGGTCCGGTGAGAAATGAGATGGCAGGCGTAGATTCCAACTCCAGCACCGCAACACAAAGGGATCAGAACAAATCGGAAGGACCAGGGCCCGGACATGTCATTTCTTTCCCTGGGACGAGAGTCCAGAGTAGCAAGGTGGAACAGCCTGACTTTTCTGCAGCGCACGCTCCGAAGCAACAAAAGCCAGACAGGCGAGCAGAGTCTTCCGACTGACCATAGTTAAAGACGCACGGGTTCCAGGACAAGGTTGATTGCCAGAGCATGGTGTTTTGGTTTCCTTCTCTCTCCCTCTTCCCCTGGGTGCTGCTCTCCTGAGGATTGACGTGATGGCTCCTGGCACGAACAAGGCTGCTGGCCTCCATGTCCTGCTGGAGGCCCTTGGCCTGAGCATGGCCGAGGTGTGTGCCATCGGTGACTCCGAAAACGACCTGGAGATCCGAGGGGGTTGGTGCTTCTGAGAGCATGTCGTACAGTAGGCTCCCAGCAAGTCGTGCAGTAGTTCCCCCAAGGTGCTGCGACATAGTTTCCCATCAAGTCAACGTGGAGTATATATCCGCATGTATAGTATATTGTAAATGTATGTATATATATATATATATATATATATATATATATGTGTGTGTGTGTGTCTGCATACATCTGGCGAGGAGATGTTGCAATCCGTTCGCGTGGCCTGTGCCATGGGCAACGTCGCTTTGCTAACTTTCGGGTTCCGGGTGAGGTGCTGCTAGGACCAAATGGGCTTAGAAGATTGATGAACAGATGCTGCGCTTGTGAAATGTAATTCTGCAAGCATCGCTACCAGCACGAACAAAGCGTGGCTTCCACATGCGTGTTGAAGCTGAGGCTGTGAAGAAGACCAAGGCAGTTTCGCACTTCGTGATGCCCAAGAATTTGGACAATCCCGCAGGTGGCTGGCAAGACAAGTACACAGAAATAGCAGCCAGAACCACGCCCTTCATGCCTTCCATGCCCTCCACTGACCGATTCGTGAGGTGTGGTTTGCCTCCTGCGCTCTCTTACCAAAGCACTCGGCTCTGGTGGGCCCACCCAGGGACCCTCGACGCCGTTGCAGACCCTGCGAGTCGCCTGCTTCTGCTGCGGGTCCTGGGGCACAGGCGTGGCGCGGCAGGTCGGCCAGAGCTTGCTTCACTTGCCCCGCTTCGAGGAGCCGAGAAGCCAAGCTGTGACAAATTGTGACAAATTGTGATAGCAGCTGCAGAGTCGGCTCAAAGCGGCTTTCATTGAGAGTAAGCTGGCCAGACCCTCGCGTTCGATGCAGGAGCCGCTGCCTATGTGGGTGCCGAGTGCGGAGGTGGCCTCGCAGATCAACGAAACGGGCGTTGACGAGGCGAATTTGCCCGGTCTCCGGCTGCCAAAGAACGTCAAGGCGACGGCGGATGCAGCAGAGGCGGGCAGTGGTGGGCAGTGCATATGATGTAAATGTAAATCCTATAGCCTATAAATACATTATGTATGTGAATCGATAACGTCATCCGATGTTTTTTCTTTCGGACTGGGAAGTGGCTTCACAGGCTGCCAAGGATGCAGACTTGTTGATTTTGGTGGTGGCCCGGGAGAACATGGCAGACCTTGTAGAGCAGCTCAAGGGCAAGGTCAAGCGCACGGCCACAGCAGTCGACTCTCGGACAATTCGAAGGACGGATCATCAAGAGCCATGTGCCAATCACATGTTGCCAACAGCAAAAAGTTGGGATTCGGGCAGGGAGTGGTTGAAGGGCTCTCTGGGGCTTGTAAATTTTGATTCTTGTTGATATCACTTTTGTCACTTGACACGGACTTGGTTCTGGCTCCATGAATGCGAACTTGAGGTGATGTCGAAGATCCTCATGCCGTGCCCAGAGAAGCAAGGGCTCCGCTTCGGCAGTGAGTTTGTGAGCCAGGCACTGGGCCAGGGCCCCAGATTCTTGAGAGCGCGAGCTCTTTGCATGCACTTCCACCTTGTTCACGTTGGCGATTTGAGTAACGTTGTTAGAAATTTGTTTGAATCGAACTGCTGTGTGATTTTGAACGGGTTCCGTTTTGCTTTCACCCTTTCCCTTTTGAGGTATCCCTGCAGCTGTGCTCATGGGCGGGACACTGGCTGCGGATGTGGCCCGCGGGCAACCCGACAATCAAGCACGGATCACGCCAGCTTTTTGTGTGTGAATCCTATAAATCTACTTGTGGGGCTCTGAACCCAGAACCCCTACTTCTGCATTTCAGGGATCCATGTGGAGGTATTTTGCCGAGGCGACCGTGGGCTGCAAGGACCCGGAGGCCGGGGGGGCTGGTTGAGCTGAGCTGGGAGGTACACCAGGCGCATGAACACGTGGACCAAAGGCAACTCCCTCAAGCAAGGGAATAAATTCGGTGCTATCAAGATAGACAAGGACAAAGGGTGATGCAGAATTCCTGTGAAGCTCGTTGAAGGCAACAAGAGGCAGTCGCAAGGCGGGCCCGAGTTTATTTAATTTGGAGGGTAAAGAGACAGGCGCATAGAGGGTAGCAGAAGGAAAGCGGTCTTTCGTCTCGATGGAAACTTTCGGCCTTTCGCAGAGCAGACGAAGTCGAAAATTCCCTATTGGGCATCTTGGGGCATCGCAGAGCATGCGACTTCAAATGCCTGTCCTCTTCGAACTTCCCTGTTGGGCATCTTGGGGGCCTTTCGCAGAGCAGACGAATTAGTAGGGAGGGCTGGGGATGGAAGGGGGATGTGCTGATGCCGATGATGCTCATGCTCACGTTGCGTCAAAAAACGGGCCTTTTCTGCCCCTGGGCAAACCACATGTATAGCCCTGCGATGTCTTGGGGTGCCTTTTTTGGCCCCGCGATGATTTGATTCGTCTAAAAGTTGCCCCTGTCATTCATCTAGTTCGGCCTGGGCAGGGGGGGTTCTTCTGTCGCTGGATATAAAATTTGTCCTCAACTCAATGCCGTAATTCGTAAAATCTTGTTTTGTCAAAAACGGGTGAGCCCGGCCTGGTCAGGCTCTGGGCCACCCCGCGGCATGCGGCACCGGGTGACAAAAACGCGCTTGAGGTCTCTAATAATGTTAACCTGTCGGCATTGCTTCCCGCCGTCGCCCCAAAGAAATTCTGTAGCTGCAGTGCGGACTCAGGGCCTTTGCTTTCCGCCGCAAACCAATTCAATCCTCACCTGCAGCACGGACTGCAGGCCTTTGCTTCCCGCCTTTAACTACGAAATCCCCGCTTGCATTGCGGAACGCATTTGTTCTTCGATTTTCCCTGTTGGGCATCTTGGGGCGTCTCGCAGAGCAGACGAATTCAAAACGATTTTCCCCTTCGTAGTTCTCTATTGGGCATCTTTTGGGGGGCCTTTCGCACAGCAGACGAATCCAAACGCATTTGCCTCTTCGAACGTCCCCCATTGGGCATCTTGGGGGGCCTTTCGTAGAGCAGACCAATCCCAACGCCTTTTTCCTCTTTGAGCGTCCCCATTGCGCATGTCCCTATTGGGCATCTTGGGGGCCTGTCGCAGAGCACACGAATCCAAACGCCTTTTCCTCTCTGAGCGTCCCTATTGGGCATCTTGGGGGCCTTTCGCAAAGCAGACGAATCCAAACGCCTGTTCCTCTTCGAGCGTCCCTATTGGGCATCTTGCGGGCCTTTCGCAGAGCAGACGAATTCCAACGCCTTGTACTTGTCGAACGTACCGATTGGGCATCTTGGGGGGGCCCTTCACACAGCAGACGAATCCAAACGCCTATTCCTCTTCGACCGTCCCTATTGGGCGTCTTGAAGGCCTTTCGCAGAGCAGACGAGCCGTTCCTCTTCGAACGTCCCATAACGTCCCTATTTGGCATCTTGGGGGGGCCTGCGCAAAGCAGACGAATCCAAACGCCTTTCCTCTTTGAGGGTTTTTATTGGGCATCTTGGGGGCCTTTCGCAGAGCAGACGAATCCAAACGCCGATTCCTCTTCGAACGTCCCGATTGGGCATCTTTTCTTCTTCGAACGTTCCTATTGGGCATCTTGGGGGCCTTTCGCAGAGCAGACGAATCCAAACGCCTTTTCCTTTTCAAAAGTCCCCTTTCGGCATCTTGGGGCCCTTTCGCAGAACAGACGAATCCAAGCGCCTTTCCTCTTCGAGCGTCCCTATTGCGCATGTCCCTATTGGGCATCCTGGGGGCCTGTCGCAGAGCATACGAATCCAAACGCCTTTTCCTCTGCGAGCGTCCCTATTGGGCATCTTGGGGGCCTTTCGCAAAGCAGACGAATCCAAACGCCTGTTCCTCTTCGAGCGTCCCTACGCAGAGCAGACGAATTCCAACGCCGTGTCCTTGTCGAACGTACCGATTGGGCATCTTGGGGGGGCCCTTCACACAGCAGACGAATCCAAACGCCTATTCCTCTTCGACCGTCCCTATTGGGCGTCTTGAAGGCCTTTCGCAGAGCAGACGAGCCGTTCCTCTTCGAACGTCCCATAACGTCCCTATTTGGCATCTTGGGGGGGCCTGCGCAAAGCAGACGAATCCAAACGCCTTTCCTCTTTGAGGGTTTTTATTGGGCATCTTGGGGGCCTTTCGCAGAGCAGACGAATCCAAACGCCGATTCCTCTTCGAACGTCCCGATTGGGCATCTTTTCTTCTTCGAACGTTCCTATTGGGCATCTTGGGGGCCTTTCGCAGAGCAGACGAATCCAAACGCCTTTTCCTTTTCAAAAGTCCCCTTTCGGCATCTTGGGGCCCTTTCGCAGAACAGACGAATCCAAGCGCCTTTCCTCTTCGAGCGTCCCTATTGCGCATGTCCCTATTGGGCATCTTGGGGGGCCTTTCGCACAGCAGAGTTCATCCCCCACACCAAGGCTTCGTCAGCACCTTCTTATTTAGTGCACGTGCCTGATTTTGCAATGTGTTGTGCATGGGAGAGCCTGGCTCCGCGTTGCCTCTTTGAAGAGCCTTGGAGCTGGCTCCTCTAAACTTGTGTCCGACTCGACCTCTACAGACCACTCTACGACTGAATGACCGTGGTGGTCGTGTTGTCCCTTGCACAGTTCGCAACTGACAGTTCCTCTCGGGCCTCCACATGAGGGGCACATAAAGCAAACTATTCATGATCAGCGTCCAGGTGAGCAAGGTCTTGCTCGAGCTCTTCAACAAGCCGAATTTCTCAGTGCCCGGGCACAATTTGGGAGTGAATGAGAGACAGGTGAAAAAAAGCATGTGAGGCACAGAGGTAAATTTCCGTGGCTCCAGGTCACCAGTCTACCCAGCCCAACGGCCGCTCGGCATCAGAGCCATCAGAGGGATGCGCCAAAAACGATCAAAAACTATTGGCACTCTGGGAGGCCGTGGAGCTCTTTGCGGTCTTGAAGGCCATCATCGCCGTGGGTGCAGGCGCGGCACTTTGCCATCTCCGTTTGTCCTCCTAGAAGTGAAGTCTCTGCCGCCCCGTCCTGGACCTCTTTGATCCCCATTTTGAGGGCAAAAGCAACATCTATCCCTCAGGCTTCTGCGATGGCCTCGGATTGGGTCACAACTCCAAGGCCGCAGTGATCCGCATCTCAGCAGCACCTCCGAGGTCCATCTTAGAACAACTCTTCTCCTCGGAACTCTTCTCCTCGCCAGTCTACTCTTCGCTCCTGGAGTGCCCAGAGTGTCCCTGGAGTGCCCAACCTGCAGAGACCAACCCCAGAGTATCTCTCTACCCAGAGAGGGTGGGGATGTTCGAAGCAATTTTTGTGTTTGTTGCTAATAATGTTGCTATCATGTCTAGGAATCAAGGAAGCTTTTCTTGGGAGATGAGGTCTTGGGGCTGTGGAGCTGGCGAAGTTCGCGCAGCGCTTCTACCCTGAGGAGTCGTCCAAGGCCTGAGCTTCTTCGATTGCTGCCCCCCCCCCCCCTACACTCCTGCGCCTACTACGCCTACAGTGACGGTTGCTGCCGACAGCAGAACTAGGTACTCAATAGTACTGGTAGCAGTCACAGTATGTACCAGCACTGCCACCACCAGCACCACTCCCACCACCACTACGACGGCGACTTGTACTTCCACGGCGACTACGATTCCTCGTGATGAGCCATATCTTTCTTAGCCAGCTCTGGCCACGCACCAATACAACCCCAGAGCTGGTGATGCTAGTGCTGCTGCAACTGCAGCGACTGCAACTACGTACTGCTACGGCAACGCCGGCAACCACGATGACAGCCAACAGGATAACAGCCGCAGCGTTTGTGCTGCTGCGACTTGCTTCTCGTGCAACCCGTGTTTTTCCACGGCAGCCTGCGAACTCGTCGAAGACGGATCAGATTGGATGCCCTGACAATTGAGAAGCGTCTTATTTATTCCTTTCTTGTTTGAAATTGCCCGCCCCTGAGCGAAGGGAGGGAGGCGTGTCAGCCGCACGATGAATGCATCATGAATAGCTCTTTCATTTGCTACTCTCCCTGCTTGTGACAGGAGGCCCTCACGGAAGCTTGTGGGATAACTGCTGCGGGCCGGCATTGGACAGGGTCAGAATCCGTAGAACGGTTTCCACGCAAAGCTCCTTGATGACGTCCTCGTGAAGATTCTCTGAATCTCATGTCCTTAGGACATCATCGCCTCCAGCTATGGCGACTCGCGCACGAGGCCCGAACTCTCCCCTCCCCCTGGCACTTCAGGCGGAGAGTACGTGATTAGAGTGCATATAGTGCTGAGCTGTGCTGAGCTGTGCTGAGCTGTGCTGAGCTGTGCTGAGCTGTCGAGGCGCTGCGCCGAGGCCTTCGCCAAGGAGCCGCACAAGGACTGGGAGGAGGACCGGAGTGGAAAAAGAGTGGAATGGAAAAAGGGTGAAAAAAAAAGAGCAGACAGAGAGCAGACACCAGAAGCGAGAAGCGATTCGGATAGTTGCAAAGAGGCTGCAAGAGAGCGCAAAAGATCGCGGGAAAAGATCGGGATGTACGACTAGACAGATGGACATTGTGGGCTACTTGTGAGGGATCTGGGATCCGCTCTCAGGTGGCGCGCGAGAAGCTGCGGAGCGGGGAGCCCGCGGGCATCTCGGTGCTTCGGACCTGCGCTGCCTTCGTGCGCTCGCACCGTGCGGAAAGCGAGTTCCCCTTTCTGAGCAAAGTGGATGAGATCTGCCAGCAGAAAGCCAAACCGGACACCCTGACGCAGATGGCCGTTCCCAGGGTCCGTGCCTCCAAGGCTTTGAAGGCCGGGTGTGATTCGACGGATACGGGTGTGATGTCAAATCGTTTTAAGTGTCCAAGTTCTTCTGTTCACGGCTTCCGTGGTTTCTACAAACAGAGAAAACGGCGCGTTGCTAGTTCTCTAGACGCTTCTCGAACCCCGGAGACACCTCGTGAAGAGCAGCTCGACATTGTCGAAACATGTCCAAATCAAACAGGCAGCCACCCTCATTCACATGTCTCACATGATAGCTTTTTTCGAATCATATCGCCCAATGGCGTTGACCTGAGCCAACCCTTGCCAATGTTGACAGCATGGTGCGTTCCAACAGCGATCCTGGATCGCAAGTTCGTGCTTGCGAGCTTACTTTAGGGAAGCCATTCAACTCACACATGTTTGATAGTGTCAAGTAGTCGCAGGCTATTGAAACTTGGCACGCGCAGCTGTTTCTGATGAAGCGTCGTCAAGCCCCGCGATTTTTGCTCCCGCAACAGCAGGTATCATCCTGAGACATGCTAAGTCGCCTCAACATCCTCACGAAGAGCACTTTAGCTGCACTTTTGAATTCTTCTCTTGCATCGTCAGAAAGGCTGCGCAGAAGGAGAACATTCGAGCCTGTTTGGTGTTATGACGTATCTATTAGCATGCTCCACCAGACTATACTGTACTTCACAGTTCATTTCTTCGGGGTTTGTGCCGTGTACTTGGGCAAGAATGAGTATAATGCTTCGGGTCGGAACCGACCCACAGCGGAGTCGTTTTCCGAACCGCCGACGCAGCGAATTTCTACGGCCAGTCACCTTGTGATTCTCTCACAGAGTCACTCCCCTCGCAGGTGGCAGTGCTGGGCTCCGGCAACTGGGCAGGGAGGGAGCAGCTGTTCTTTGGCGGGAGCAGCAAGCAGTTGCGGCACAAACGCTACGGCACTTATCTATCCTGTTCGTTGCCATTGTAGTTGCGTAGTTGCCGTTGCAGTCGTGGCAGTTGCAGCAGCGCTAGCATCGCTAGACTCTAGACATAGGCAACTGGGGCTGCGCCATCGCCAAAATCATTGCACGCAACGCCTTGCAGCGCACCGAGTTCCAAAAGGTTGTATCTATGTGGGTGCATGAAGAAGCTTGAAATGAAGCTTTGGGAGCAGAGTTTTTTTAGGGGCATTCTTCGGTCTGGCTGCAGAGCTTGTTTTTTGTTTAAGCGCCATCTGGAAGTGCAGTTGTGCAAAGCGACGAAGCTCCTGAGACGCCCCTCAAAAAGTGTTGAGGAAATGGTGGAAGGCCGCAAGCTTACGGACATCATCAATGAAGACCACCAGAATGTGAGATATTTGCCGGGCGTCGAATTGCCTCACAACTTGCCCCTCACCTGAATCATGTTGACATTGCTGTTGCTTGCTCTTGCACAAACTTGCATCCATTTCACCCCAGGCACGCTGAGCCGGATGCAAAGGCGGCCGTCAGGGATGCTAGCATTCTGGTCTTCGTGCTTCCGCACCAGTTCCTTCCTGGCCTGCTGAAGACCATCAAGGACGTGGTTCTCCCCGATGCCGTGGGTGTCTCGCTGGTGAAAGGCCGCTTGGGCGTCCCAAAAACTGTGCACCATTTTTTTTGCTGATTTTGGCTGGCTTGAATCAAGGTTTCTTGCAAGTTCCCTTTCAGTTCCCTCTTTGTCCGACTCTGAACCCGTGCTTCTATACCCTTGCAATCCAATTGAGGCTACCTTGAGGTCGACCGGCAGACGGGTTCGATCACCACAGGCACCCAGCTCATCGAGGCTGAGCTCAACATCCCCTGCGCGGTGCTCAATGGTGCCAACGTGGCCAACGATGTGGCCCATGACCACTTTGCGGAGGCTCCCTAAGAATGTCTCTCTAAAGGGCCTCGTCTATAAGACCCGTTATAGACGAGGCCCTTTTTTTAGAGAGGCCTTTTGTAGAGTTTCAAAAAGGTGGGCGTTCTCTGTGCTTTCGTGTGTCGGATGGAACGCGGCGTTGACCGGCAAAAAACAAAACGTTGAAAGGGTTGAGAACTGGAGGGTTTAGCATCAGCAAGGGCCGGCAGCGGTTCGATGGTTCGGCTCTGCGTTCGTTTCCCCGGAGGCCACTTTGGGCTGCACCAGCGACCGGACTCAGGCACGGCTCTCAACTCTGCCCAAAGCATCCACAAGTATATCCAAATGTAAAACACGTCTTTCTCTGGTTGTTCGCCAACGAGATGTCGCAGTTCCTGGCAGGTCCTCTGGGACCTGCTCAACACCCCGCAGTTCAGTGTGCGCACTACACCGGACGTCTTGGGCGTGGAGCTCTTCGGTGGGTTCAAGAATGTGGTGGCCCTGGCCGCGGGCTTCTCAGAGCCTTGGGCTCTTGAGGCTGCTGTCCCCGTCGTAATTTTCACATAAGTATGCAGTTTTGTTGAACAGTTTCCACGATAGCAAAGTTCGGAAACGCGTGCCGAACTGCGAGGATGGGCTTGGGTTCCCGCCGAACACCAAAGCTGCCATTCTGCGGCGCGGCCTCCAGGAAATGTCCAAGCTCATCCAGGAGAGAGCACAAGACCAGACAAAGGAAGTGCGGGGACCGCGTCTTTGCACGTTTCTGCTTCCTGTTCCACGAATACGTGTGTACGTATGTATGTGTGTATGTATATGTATAGGTGTATGTATCACGGTGTAGTGAAGGATTTTTCACAAAGCTAGCTCCTTGGAGCGCGCGCGCGCGAGGTGTCGTTCACCAATCTCTCTCTCTCTCTCTCTCTCTCGCTCTCTGTTTCTCTTTTTCTCTCTTTCTCTCTCTCTCGCTCTCTCTCTCTCTCTCTCCCTCTCTGTCTCTCTCAAGTCTTTCAGGCGGGTCGAAGCGCGACCGCGGGCCATAACTTGCATGAACATTGGCGTGGAAGGGGAATGATATAATTCATAAGACTTCTTGAAGCTTTATAAGGTATCACTTTATTCTCTTTGCACAGGCATACTGTTCTTGATCTTTGGGAAGGGGGCGGGAACTCCCCCCCCCGTTGCCCAAAGAAGGCCAGCCTTGTTGTTTGCTGACATGCAGCCAAAAAGCTTGCTTGTTGGAACACGCACGCTTTGGTTGCACTCGCCCGGAGCCGTCTAGCCCTTCAGACTCAAGCAAGCAAATTGCGAACAAGGCCTCTTGTTGCATGTTGGAATGCAGCCGAAAAGCTTGCTTGCTGCAACACGCAAGCAGCATTTGGAGTTGAGCTGGCATGTGCACACACACAGACGCTCTTGACCACTGGAGTCACTGGAGTTCCTCAAATTTCCTGGCGACACTCGCCCGGAACCGCACAATCTATCAGCTGCGCATGCGCAAGCTTGGCACTGTGTGCGCAAACCCATCCACGCGCGGCTGGGTTGGCAGCCACTGTTTCAAGTGTAGGTGCAGGACTGTGTAAGTGTATGTGTATACATGTCTGTGTGCGCAGCATGTGTGCATAATGAAGAATGAACAGTGTCTATGTAGATGCATGGAGCCCTCAAAAGCTCAGTCAACTTGCCCAAGGCTGAAAGCGAAGAAGCCTTTGCCTTGTGGGTTCTCAGCTCAAAGGCCTTGTGAGCCGAGCCAGAGGGCCTTTGTTTGTTGTTGGGCTGAGCTTATATTTTGGCGACACGCATGGTGGTCGCTGAGTCGCTGGGCCCTTGTTTGGGGTACTCTCTACCAGCACCAGACCAAAAAATGCAGGCCCCTGTGTGGTGTTTTGGTAATCTTGGCAAATCGCAATCTGACATGTTCCGCCATTGAGGAGCTATACCCCACCTCCTCGACGGACACACTCCTCGAGAGCTGTGGTCTTGCCGACCTCCTGACGACCTCCTACAGCGGCCGCAACCGCATGTGTGCCCAGAGCCCCAGTAACACAGACCAGCTTGCATCTTCACTCTGGGAACTCAGGGTGTGGGTCCTCATCGTCATCGCATGTTTGTGTGAGAGAAAATGACCTACAACATCTTGAGCGTGACCCCTGATCATCAGCAGTAGCCCATCGCTTAGCAAATCACAGCATGGCATCCGCTAACACCCTCCAGGAAAGCGATCGCTGAGGAACTGGGGGCATCCCCCCACCCCGATCCCCCCGAGCTCGCAAAAAGGAGGGCAAGGGTCCTCTCTACTACAAACGGTACCAAAAGTGAAAGCACATTCAGGAAACAACCAGCACCTGTAGGACACTGTACGGCTTAGGAAGGTTCAAGGTTTACAGCGCGCAGTGATGCCCACAACACTAGCCACCTGTCAGACAAAACAGGCTTCTTTCCCTCAAGCTTCAGGACCGAGATCGTTCTCGATCGGGCCCCGTACATGTTGCGATCAGGGCTTTTTTCGATCTGCCATGTGGGCATCCACATCCCCCCCCCCCCGGCGTTCCCCCTTGTCCCCCCCCGGATCTCGCCTTTCTCCAATTTCTCCAAGGCCGAGGCCTTTGCCCGGGACCCAGCGAAAAGCTGGGAAGACATCGAGGCGGAGCTTCTGTCCGGCCAGAAACTCCAGGGGCCATCGACCTGCATGGATGCACCTCGGCACACCGATGTGTGCTAGATCGACAAAGCACACCCGGCTACACCTGGCTCATCGGGGTAGCCCACTTATCTGACCTATCTGCTCTCCAGTTCATGTATCCGACATGCCCTCAGGTTTGGGCCATTCTTGAGAAGCGAGGAATTGACAAGAAGTTCCCACTCTTCACGGCCATCCACCGTGCAGTGACCAAAGAGATCACGCCGGAGGGCGTCTTCAAGTGCATCGGCCTGGTTTCCGCCACCTGAAACCACGTCTTAGAGCCCTGAGGTGGAATCAACTTTTAAGTTCCTTTTGCCACACGCTGGCGTTGAGGCGCTGTTTTCCACATGCCTCGGGCGCAGCGTTTGGATGCAGAAGCTCGTTGCCAAGAATTTTATGCAGTCGTCCGCGAGACTGTCGAATAGGTGTCCCTGCAGGGGAGCCAGCTGAAGCCGCACCTGCAGAGCACCTTTCGATTTCGGTTTATGCGAAACAGATCCGAGAAGTGCCATCCTGATGCCATACGGGAAGGCATTCCCATCTGTCAGAATATGTCCAGAATGTCCTTCTGATGCCTTGCTGAGGGACTCTCGAAGTACCACGACAAGCATCCCTACGCCTTCGGTGATGGGCCGCCTTTGCAGTACGCGCCTGCAGAGGCAGTTAAATGGAAAAGAGTTTCTGTACGGTGGAGTGCAGACGGTACGTTGTGAGGCGACGGTCGTCATCATGGGCGGCAACTCTAACTGGAGAGGTCCCGTGTGGCGTTGCCCTTATGATGGCCTCGGCGCTCTCGCGAGCTCTCGCAATCTCTCGTGACATCAGTCGACATCTTTTGAGGTTTCCGATCAACTACCTGCTCATCGAGTCATTGCAGAAGTCGTGACCTCGACTCCCCCTCGAGAGTCGAGACGGGCTCAAAGCAAGGCACAACTCCTTCTGGCATGCAATTGGACCGCAGACGCATGAATGGTTGCTCATCCTGCTCCCTAGGTTCCACCAGTACTATGGGGACGACTACCTGATCGAGTGTCCCACAGGCTCTGGCAACAAGGCGCCCGAAAGAGAATGATTCCCCAACCTCTTCCCCCCTTTCGAAAGCGCGATTTGCCCCTTAGATGAGCATTCTCAAAATTGCCGACGAGCTATCGGAGCGGCTCATCAAGATCTTCTTGAAGGCGGAGGACGTCCGATGTGGCAGATGATGCCTCGTATGTTGTCTTTGCAAAGTATGCGCGTGTGTGTAGACATATCATTTTTAGATGAATGGTTGCGAGTTTAACATAGTTTAACGTAACGGAAAAGACTTAAAGAGGTGCGTCCGCTCCCGGAGGATGGCCACCGGCCGGGCATGCGGCTGCACCCGAAGATGCGGGAGGAGCACTTCGACCAGAACCTCCTCTTCTACGAGCACGGGGCTTTCCAAACTCTCTCTCTCTTCTCTCTCTCTCTCTGCCTGTGGTCTGTCTCCGTGTGTCTCTCTGGGGTTTAGGGATGTTTAGGGTGTATGGAGAGTAAGATGTAAAATGCTGGCGACCTGGCCTGTGAGGTACTTCCATGGCGACAACGGCCGGGGGGTGGGATCCTCACATCAAACCGGCTGGACGGGTCTCATTGCCAAGCTGCCGGGCACCCAGGAAAGCTTTGAGCTGCTGGGCCTCCCAGTTGCTGTGACTTTGTGTTCTCCATCTTCTTTTCCCTTTCGCTTCTGAAGACTTGCGGGAAAAACAAAATATGATACATGGTTTTCATATCTATGATGATGTAATATTATTTAATGAGGGTGAAAAGGCAATGTATTTCAAACAAATGAAATGGAAAAATCATATTAAACCAAACAGAAATTAAGTTGCAAAATGACAAATAATGTTTCATCTAGAATTGAATTTAATTTCAAAAAAATAAATCCTTAAGTTATATTGTGCTCACCAAGGATCCAGGCACGTGGCCGAGAGGACGCACATGAGAGCTGAGCTCACTGGAGGCCACTAGATTCGATGCCTCGTACAACTCCGAGGAACTACAGCTCTTTGCAACGATGCCCCAGCAAGTGCGGCGCATAGCCAGATCGCAAGGGGCGAAGGCCCCCACACTCCAAAACGTGCCGATTGAGCGCCGCTTGAGGGCCCTCTTCCTTGGGCCTTTCGGTGGCCTGCAGTGGGGACCCTCACAGAGTCGAGAGCGCAAAGTGTGCAAGTGCTTGCCACTGCCCTCTTTTAAGCGCCCTTAGCGGGCTGATTTAAATGCTTTGATTATTAGTTTTGAAGGCGGCCCGGAAGGTGCACGACCTACCAGAGACGAAGCGGACCTGCTTGCAGGAAAATGGGCATCCTGAATGCTATGGACACCCGGAGGGCTGTTGCTACTCCCTCTTCTCCTCTTCTCCTCTTCTCCTCTTCTCCTCTTCTCCTCTTCTCCTCTTCTCCTCTTCTCCTCTTCTCCTCTTCTCCTCTTCTCCTCTTCTCCTCTTCTCCTCTTCTCCTCTTCTCCTCTTCTCCTCTTCTCCTCTTCTCCTCTCTGCCTCTGCCGCTGCCGCTGCCGCCTTTGCCTTTGCTTTTGCCTTTGTGCTTGTGTCGCTGCTGTGCTGATGCTCTGCTGGGATTTGTGGAACGAATTGGTGTACCATCGCCGTTCCATTGACCATCAACTTTGTTGAATGGACTTCGTCGAAGACCTGTCGGTCTTTCTCTGCCCAACTGCTATGCCGAAGAACTGACTGCAGCAAGGGCCCTGCCATAGTCACGAAAGCTTCCTCGAACTTAGGAGGGGTTTGGAGCAGCAGCGGAGCTGGAAGGGTTCAGTTCTTAAGTTCAACCTTTTTGGGAGTTTACTCCCTTATGGGTAAGCCCTTTTCCACCACGAACAGGTGTGTGCTGCGTCTCATGCGTTTTGAGATGTTCTGAAGTTTGCCAACCGAGCTCAGATTCGTATAAGCATCCTCCTGGTCGGCCCTCAAAGTAGAGGATGTCTCTTGGAAGTCACCCTGCCACAGGGCCCAGGCCCTTCAAGCTGCCTTCAAGTGTAGCCTGCTAACCCTTGGACGCAGCTGCGAGCGGCAAGCGCTGACAATCCAAAGAAGAACTCGGTAGCGAGTGAGCCTGATACCTGCCACGAAAGCAACCGGAATCGCCAAACATAATGGACTTGGAGTGCATGCAATTCGATGTAATGCCATGTGTCTCCTGGGAGTCGTCACGAGCGCCAAGCCCAGACCAGGTCCAGGTGCTCCTTTCAGGTTCTGACGCAATGCCGTTGGATCCGGCTCTCAAGCAGCTGCAGATCAAGGCACCTTTTGACTGCATGTCTGCCAAGCCCATGTGAACGCCACTCGCCGTGCGGCAGGTCGGCGCGACAAAGCGCACCAAGAAGGCAGGATCCAGCAAGAGTAGCAAGAGTCCCTCAATCCGGCTTGGAAATGCTTGGAATCACCCCCCAGGAGTACGAAGCCTATGTCAAGGAGGAGGCTGCAGAGTTTTGCAAAGTCTTCTTCTTTTTCCCGCCACGTTCGGGCCTCCATGCAAGCGTCGTTGGCCCTTCCAGCCCGGTTGATAAATTCTGGCTCAAAATGCAAAGCTGCTATAACATCCTCGGAGTTGCACAGACCAGGGTGCTTCGAGATGCGGTCTCGAACGATGCCACTGAGGAATTTCGACATGCCGCCTGTCTCCAAGCCTTCACTAGAGTCACCACACCTTGAGCGGAAGTCCGCCCAAGAGCACTACGTAGCATACAGACTCAATGCAGACCATGTCCCGTGAAGCATCAAGTTACATGCTGTATCACTTTAAAGCTTCGTGCTCTGCAGAGTTTCGGCAAATGTCGAACCAAGCAGCATGCAACGTCAGGCACTCCTTAGAATGCCTTGCAAAGGACCATGCAGGACATGGGTAAGAGGCTGCTAAGCTGTCCAACCAAGGCGAGACGAACTCCGTGCCACGGCCGATCGGAGGAAGCCCGGGCAGGTCCCCGGCCACTTCCGCACTTCACCTGCTCTGAGAATACGACAGACGATCCCCTGATCTAATCGTATGTGTTGTCAAGCTTGCACTCCAGGACCGTGCCGTGATTGGCCAAATCAGCAGCAGCAGTGGTGTGGCCGGCATCGCAAAGCGACTGGCAGAGATGCGTCTCGCCTAATGTGAGGGGGAGTGCCTGCTTTAAGCCGACCCTTAAGTCAAGGAATGCTCCCCGGCCCTTCCCAGCCGTCTCACCTTCAGACCTTCAGGCGTTGTTACACATGCGCCGTAAACATCTCAATTAGTAGTCACAGGCTTGTTTTGGACAATCTGTGAACCTGTCCTTGTGGACGTGCGTTGGGGAACATGCTCTTCATCCGCCGTGAGCTTTGCTCAGCTTCTGGTCCAAGTGCTCTCCCCCCCGGTGCCGAATCCTTTGCGCAGGCAGGTGAGTTGAGCCCGGGTTGCCTGTATACAAATAGACATGAATATATATATATATATATGTATATATATATATATGCATATTTATATTTATATTCATATTTCTAGTTATACTTGTATTTATATTTAAATGTATATTTATATTTGTACTTCTTTATGGATTATAATATATTTATACATATATATAATATTCATTGTTTATTCACATGATGGCCCTATACGTGCTGCCGTCAGGATGGCTCAGCCGATGGACCACACTCCGAAAGTCAACGCCTTCCGCAGCTTCTGCATGCAGGCCAGCGACAAGTCACAAGAGGCTCTTGTCTTCAACGGCTGTGGAACATTGCGGAACAGGTGGTGGACCAGCTGTGCATCGAGTTCGAGCGTGAGGTGTCGCAGATGACACAGGCTGGGAGTCCGCAAGTCGCGATTGCCTGCATGGAGGTAGTGAAGGCAGTGATGTCAGAGAGCTCGGCGAACTTTCTTTGTCGCTTCATTCCACTTCATTCATTCACACAGAGCATTTACCAGTTTGTCAGACCGGAGTCAGACCGTTGACACGATTTCGACACTATGTCTCTTTGGCAGAGGACATCACCATGTATCGTGGGGAGCTGGCTCGGTGCGCTGACCTGCTGGCTTTTCAGCTGGGAAAGGAGACTCCTGGTCAGAACGTGTTGAACCTTTGAACTTGAGCAAGAGCTCCTAAGTAACTCAAGTATCTTGGTATACCGTTGACACACCTTTGGCACGTGTTTGACACCCTTTTGTCGCCTGCCTCGTGCCAAGGAAGGACTACCACACCATGCTGGACACGTGGGAAAGTTCGGAAAGTTCGGTGGGCACCAGTCGAGCCCCTCTTTTGAACTCTTGCAGGACAACATCGCGAACAACACAAACGTCCTTGTCGGAAAGGCCCAGGAGCCTTGGCCACGGCCTGCGCGCCTGGTAAGATCCACCTGTTGCCTTCTCTTCTCCTCAGGAGGTGGGGCAGAAGCACAGTGGCCACGAGCCCATGAAGCAGCGAAGGGCTCAGGATTGAAGAGTGATTCAAAGCGCGGTCTGCACAAAGCACCACGAAACTGAGGCAGATGCACCAGATGCTTGAGCAGATGTTCGAAGGAGCGGGGCTATGTTGTGTCAAGCAGGAGTCTGCTTTCAGTCCTTGCTGGAAGTATGGTGGGATTCTTCGCTTTGTCGGAAGATACTATATTGCTGGGCTTGCCCTTTATTACCTTTCGGTTCCATCTCGCAGGCGGCCGCGGAGCCCTGGCTGACAGCTTCGGAAGCCTGGATGAGCACCGCATGCTCGCCGAGAAGCACCTCATGACCGAGTCGCTTCCCACACGGGCAGATTGCAACCACACTCCACTAAGTCACTAAGTGCGAGAGAGCGTTGTAAAAAGAGACAGTGTGTTTTTTTTGCGTGGTGCCATGGCACACCTTGCAGGAGCGCGGCCGAGCTGCAGAGTGGGTCGCAGGCGATCCAGAAGGTAGGGCTCCACGGGCTCCAGCTTTCAACCATGCTCTCAGACATTCTCAGCCACGTTGCCATGAAGGAGCTCGACAACATTATGCAGACTTTGCAGGCAGAAACGACTCCATCTCTTAGCCAAGAATTGCGTGCAGTCACAGGGTAAATAGCCGTTTCCTGCTCGAGGTGCCTCCAGTGTCTTACCGCGATGCGCCCGTCATGATGGGACTGGGTTCAGGGGAATGCTCGTAGTGGAGTCCTCACTGTCCACGCTGTCCACGCTGATTGGTGTGTGTGGTGGCAGCGGCCTCTACGGCCTTCGGAAGGACCCTCTTCGCTGCAAGGAATGCAGGGTGGACGACCACCTCAAGGCGGCCTCCATTCCGAAAAACGCCCCCACATTTTTGTCTGTTGGATTTTTGCTAACTTTTTTTTGCTGTGCAGGACCTGGCAAACCCTTCACGAGCTTCAATCCGAGACTTGTCAACAGAAAACGCTGCGGCCAGATGATGCCCGTTTTCTCGTTTGTTTTTTTTTTTTTTTTTTTTTTGTGTGTGTGTGTGTGTGCTCTGTGCCTGTTTCTGTGTCGTTGTGTGTGGTGTGTGTGTTGTGTGTGTGTGTGTGTGGTTCTGTGTGTGTGTGTGTGTGTGTTTTTCTTGTGTGTGTGTGTGTGTCTGTGTGTGTGGTGTGTGTGTGTGTGTGTGTGTGTGTGTGTGTGTGTGCGTGTGTCGTGTGTGTGTGTGTGTGTGTGTTGTGTGTGTTGTGTGTTGTGTGTTGTGTGTGTGTTTGTGTGTTGTGTGTTGTGTGTGTGTGTGTGTGTTGTGTGTGTGTGTGTTGCTGTGTGTGTGTGTGTGTGTGTGTGTGTGTGTGTGTGTGTGTGTGTGTGTGTGTGTGGTGTGTGTGTGTGTGTGTTGGTGTTGTGTGTGTGTGTCTGTGTGTCTCTGTGTGTCTCTGTGTGTCTCTGTGTGTCTGTGTGTCTGTATGTGTCTGTGTGTGTGTGTGTCTGTGTGTCTGTGTGTTGTGTGTCTGTGTGGTGTGTGTGTGGTGTGTGTCTGTGTGTGTGTGTGTGTGTGTCTGTCTGTGTGTGTGTGTGTGTGTGTGTGTCTCTGTGTGTGTGTGTGTGTGTGTGTGTGTGTGTGTGTGTGTGTGTGTGTGTGTGTGTGTGTGTGGGGGTGTGTGTGTGTGTTGTGTGGTCTGTCCTGTCTGTCTGTCTGTGTGTGTGCTGTTGTGTGGTGTGTGTGTGTGTGGTCGTGTGGTGTGTGTGTGTGTGTTGTGTGTGTGAGTGTGTGTGTGTGTGTGTGTCTGTGTGTGTGTGTGTGTGTGTGTGTGTGTCTGTGTGTGTCTGTGTGTGTCTGTGTGTGTGTCTGTGTGTGTCTCAGTCTAAGTGTGTCTGTGTGTCTCTGTTGCGCTGTTACTAAACGTGACTGCGGCTCTCTCTATCTCGCACTCATATTGTCTTTGTATAGGTTATGTGCACAGCTGTCGAGCAGTCGGATCTTGGTTTTCGGGCCATGGAGTGAATGTCTTTGACGGAGGGACGGTTCTGGCGACCTGTAGTGTTCATGTCTTGTGTGAGCTGCGCCGCGCGGCTTTGCAAGGGATATAGTATAAGCGGCTGGGGCATAGCAGGGACAGCAGGCGTTGTTGGGTGGAACTGCTGTCCCTGGAGCCTAGGGGCTGCACATTGTCCCAACGCTTGGAAAATAGGCAGCCTGTATCATGTGAGTGCGAGATTGTAGAGGTGTAGGTGTGTGTGTGTGTGTCTGTCTGTCTGTCTGTCTGTCTGTCTGTCTGTCTGTCTGTCTGTCTGTCTGTCTGTCTGTCTGTCTGTCTGTCTGTCTGTCTGTCTGTGTGTGTGTGTGTTTCTGTGTGTGTGTGTGTGTGTCTCTGTGTGTGTGTGTGTGTGTCTGTCTGTCCGTCTGTCTGTGTGTGTGTGTGTGTGTTTGTGGGTGTGTGTGTGTGTGTGTGCGTGCGTGCGTGTGTGCGTGCGTGCGTGCGTCTGCGTGCGTCTGCGTGCGTCTGCGTGCGTCTGCGTGCGTCTGCGTGCGTCTGCGTGCGTCTGCGTGCGTCTGTGTGCGTCTGTGTGCGTCTGTGTGCGTCTGTGTGCGTCTGTGTGCGTCTGTGTGCGTCTGTGTGCGTCTGTGTGCGTCTGTGTGCGTCTGTGTGCGTCGTGCGTCTGCGTGTCATGCGTGCGTCTGCGTGCGTCTGCGTCTGCGTGTGCGTGCGTCTGCGTGCGTGCTGCGTGCGTCTGCTGCGTCTGCGTGCTCGTCTGCGTGCGTCTGCGTGCGTCTGCGTGCGTCTGCGTGCGTCTGCGTGCGTCTGCGTGCGTCTGCGTGCGTCTGCGTGCGTCTGCGTGCGTGCGTCTGCGTGCGTCTGCGTGCGTCTGCGTGCGTCTGCGCGTGCGTCTGCGTGCGTCTGCGTGCGTCTGCGTGCGTCTGCGTGGGTGTGTGTGTGTGTGTGTGTGTGTGTGCGTCTGCGTGGGTGTGTGTGTGTGTGTGTGTGTGTGTGTGTGTGTGTGTGTGTGTGTGTGTGTGTGTCTGTGTGTCTGTGTGTCTGTGTGTCTGTGTGTCTGTGTGTCTGTGTGTCTGTGTGTTTGTGTGTCTGTGTGTCTGTGTGTCTGTGTGTCTGTGTCTCTGTGTCTCTGTGTCTCTGTGTCTCTGTGTCTCTGCGTCTCTGTGTCTCTGCGTCTCTGTGTCTCTGTGTCTCTGTATCTCTCTGTGTCTCTCTGTGATGTCTCTCGATGTCTCTCGGTGTCTCCGTGTCTCTGTCTCTGTCTCTGGCTCTGTCTGTGTGTGTGTGTGTGTGTGTCTGTGTGTGTGTGTGTGTTTGTTTGTTTGTTTGTTTGCTTGCTTGTTCGATTCTTCTTGGGAGCATCCCATGTTCATCACAGTAACGCTCGAGCTCTGCACCCGGAGGAATGCAGGGCCGCCGATGCCCGGTGCCAACTTGCCGCCTCTCGACTGCACTGGGCGGTCTGCAAATCCCGACTAGCAAACGCAAGCAAAATAAGTAAGATAACTCCGTCTTTCAGATGTCCACCAAGCCAGGAAAAGGCAGGGTGATGACATCCTAGTACTATTCCAGACTCTCCGTTGCCAATGCCTCTCTTTCTCCTTTGTATTTGGGAACTTCGACGCTCAAACCACTGGGCATGCAACCCCTTTCTCCAACGTTTTAGCGACAGGGTTTAGGGAGTAGCGTCGCGGGGCTTTGTACCCACCCGCTCCCAGGAACATGCCCATGTCGATGTCGAACCCTGGATCACCCTACCGCTCTCCAGGCGCGAAAAAGGGAGACGAGGCGTAGTGAGGGGATGATTGAGGTTGGGGTTGCTGGGTAGGTCGAGAGTTAGGTCCTCCTCCTTCCAAGGAGGCGGCCGTGGCTTCAACCCTGGCCCCGGAGGCCCAGTTGGCCCACGATCGCCCACGGGGCAAATGGCCTAACGGGCAAGTTGGTCTCTGGTAAATATACTCCTGCTCCGTGCACCCGCTGCCTGGAATCTGGCAACTCTCCAAGGGGGCTCTGGAGCACAAAGTAATTCAGGGGCAGAGCGGGCTGTGCATGGCTGTGCATGGCCGTGCAACTTCCAGGCTTCAGGGTGCACGGCCAGTTCCGGGGGGAGACACATTTTGTCCTCCCAGTCACACGATGTTTTCTCGTTGGCTCACCGTCTTCGCGAATCTCGTACCTTCACCTTGCCGGCTGCCTGGGCTGGGCTCCAGCTGCCATCAGCTGAACCCAGCGCTGGGCAGAAGGCAGTGCGAAAGGCTCATCGCTCGAACTCTGATGGCCTAAGGCCACTGGGCAAAGCGAGCGAAGCAAAAGAGCGTGCGCCCAGGGAGCCCTGCAATGTGCTTGGGTCACAGCCGCCGCGAAGAGGATTGAACATCGCGGGACACGCATGTTCTGCACATTCCTCGGTGAAGTGTCTTAAATGCCTTGACTTGAGGTTCCCGGCGCTTCCACAAGACACGGTGCAGGCCCGAAGTGAAGCAGTCACGTGAAGCAGTGGTAAGGAAAGAGTCTGAAAGAGAGTGAAATGAGTGATTGAAAGAGTCCTGAGATGCCATGTCAGCCAGTTTCCAGACGGGTGTCATGTTTTCGAGGGTGCCGTGTCGCAGCTCTTCCACAGCAATGCCAACTGCTCGCCCTAAGCTCGGAGTGCGCTCTCTCAATCTTTTGGTTCTCTTTGTTCTTCTCTCTGATCTCCTGCCTCTGCTCTCTTCACATCTTTTTTTGATTGCATTTTCTTTGGCTCCTTCTCAGAAAGGTTCAGCAGCAGTGTATTCTTTGCGTTACCGCGAGGCGGCAGCAATTGGCAGATATGTCCCTGGCAGCCCTGCTGGAAATGTCCAGCAGCACCGGCGGCCCTCAGGCTTGGACTTCTGCGGATCGCCCGTCGCTAAAGAAGCACACCGCAAACACAAAACACCCAAAAGCGCAAGGAAAAGCAAAAAACCATCACACTGAGTGGAGGCCGTGACCAGTTTCGAGCCCGTCTGCACAAGCGGCACCAGCGAGTGTGTCGAGGATGAGGTCACGCGTGAAAACCTTCCGCTGAAGCTGCTGCACCGGCCTCACTGTTTCAGGTTGGACGGCAGATCGTGCCTGAGGCCACCAATGCACAGCTACTGGTCAGTAACCGCTCAGCAAGCCAGCACGATCTGCGCACGCGCAGAGGCACCAACACCAGAACACGACGAGAATCTCGACGGCTTGCTGGCTGCGCTCCTCGTCCCTTTCTCAGTGGGATGTGAAAAGACATGAAAAGACAAGGGCGAAACACTTATGGCACAGTCTCCCAGGGCCTTCCAGACGATGAGCTCAAGGCATGCGCCAGATCCTTGAAATCCTCCGACATGATGCGACTTGTACACCGTGCGTACACCCTTGTACACCGTGCGTTCCACCAGGTTCCAAGATGCGCCAAGATGCACCCAGGTCTCGACGCTCCGCTCGATCCTCTCCAGGATCGCCGAGCAGCCCAACGAGCCGTTCACCACAGCCGTGTTTCATATGGAGTGGTAAAGGTATTCTTGGCTTACAAATTGGGGTGCGCAAGCAGAACAATCAGAAGAATCCAGCTTAGGAAACTTCAGGTTCTCTCACCTCGGCCTTCTGAGGCCTAAGTTCCGGCGTTTGCGCAAGCAAAACCCGCGCTTTCATGCAGAGGCGGTACATACTGAAAGTTAAAGCAATATCTGACTGAGCACAGTAGCAGAGCTTTATAGCAAGGCTCTACTAAATTGGGAGCTTTGCAGGTGGGCCGCCACGAGGAGGCCAGGGCTCTCATGTCCGGGAGCTCAGCAACCGAGGGGGGCTTTTTTTCTCCCGGTTTCCCGGTTGCCCTGTTCCAAGGCGACACGCAGGCTTCTGCGAAGAGGCAACAGACGGCTCGGAGGGCGAGGCAAGCGCGGGGGCAGTTGCGGTGGCGAGAGTGCGAGTGCTGGCGGACCATGGCATGGTGACCAGATCTACCTCGTCTTCAAGGGCGACCTGACCGAGCCCTTTAAGCAAGTGCATGAGGCGAGAGCGGGAGAGCGAGGCACTGCCTGCGAAAGTGGGGGCGTGCCTGGTGATGGGCTCCGCGCCCCCAAGAGCTGGCGAAGAATTGAAGAAGAGGAAGAAGAAGAGAGTGAGTGAAGTGATCTGCTCAGACTTTTGGTCATCGAAGGAACGAAAGAAAGAGAAAGCCAGTTGCTGCCACATCCAATCGTCGCGATTGCCCCAGGCAGTTCGAGAAGCAGCTTCCATTGTGGCTCCAGAGGTATCCTTGACAAGACCTTGAGCATGTTCCAGATGTCCATGAGTCTGATCTGAGTTTGTGCTGTTCGCCCTGAAGAGGGAAGAAAGAGAATCCTCGAGGGAATAACGAGTTAACAAACTCAGTTCGAAGGTGCTCGAGCATCCCACGCCTGAGCCTCGCAGTGCTCCCCCGGCGCGGTGTGCCCAAAGCGATCACAGGTGCCCTCGGATGGGAGGAGAGGGCGATGCATCCAGGGCCCCAAAATGGCCCAACATTGGGACCAGTTGCAATGGTTTTAATGGTTTGGAGTTACCACAAAATGCCCAATCCGATGATCTTAAGCTTCCAAGTCAGCTGCAGGTGGGAACCCAAAATGCTCTCACCCCTTATATCCCCTCCATAGTCCTGTCCCCCCCCCCCCCCCCCCCCCCCCCCCGGCAGTCGACGACAACATATCGCCGCCCTGACGGAGCAGAGGTTGAAGGCCGGGCATGCACCGGAATGCAGCACAAAACACATAGACAAATAAATGAGTATTTGTCGATATATGTAACACCTATATAAATACAAATATAAACAAGTGCGTACATTTGAGTCTGATATATACACTTTTATCATTCGCGACCTGTGCCCGAAGGACCCGAGGGGCTTTCGCGAGGACGTGATGCCAATCCTCGCCAGCGCTACTGTAAGTTCTTGTACTGGATATATGTCTCTTGAGAAGCCTCTGTGGCTTTTGTTTTCAATTTTCGCTACCTCCCTCCACCCGGTAACCCGAACCCTGAACCCTTTTTTCAGCTTGCGGGGGGGGGGGGGGGGGGGGGGGGGGGGGGGGGGCAGGATGCCGTGCGAAGGCGGAAGGCCAACCATGGCGTAGGCGGCGCTGCCCTGCGCCCGCCCCCAGCGGCCCCAGCGACGCAGGTCGCACGACGTTCCCAGGCGCCCCCCAAAGCGTTAGGGTCGTAAGGGTTTATAAGATTTAGAGGTGAGGGCTTAGGGGGGGGGGACGAGGAAAGTCCTCTTCGTCGTGTCCATGAGTGTGAGTGTGTGTGTGTGTGTGTGCGCGCGTGCATGTGTGTAGACACCATTGGACCGGATGCTTCTGCCAGCATTTCACCCTCACCGACATCGAGAACCTGCGAACCCAGGAGGCGATTGCCGGGATGCCCAGCTACGCAGACGAGTGCCCTCGTTGCACTTATTTGCACTTGTAGCGAATGTGTCGAAAGCTGTCGATAGTTCCTGCAAATGTTGCGATTGTTGCGGTAGAGTGCAGGTACCAGCGAACTTACCAGGGAAGCCCGGCCACCTCCTACTCCACCTTGGTGTCCAGAAGCTATGCAGGGCCCCCGGGGGAGATGCGCTCGGAAATGAGGGCACGGGCGTGTGTGTTTTTTCTCGCATGGGGCGATCACTCGGCGCCCCTCTCTGGTTCGGAGGACCCCGAGCTCATCGCGCGCCAGGCGCTGGATGGCACGAACCGGTACCGTGCCTCCAAGGCACCTTGGGCCTTGGGTGGGACAAACAAAAACCCACGAAAAGGTTGCCTGTGGCGCAAAAAACTCAGGCGGCGCGCGTGATGACACGATATGCAGTTTGCAAGCTTTCCATTCGAAGACTGGCCAAGACAGCGCTGGTGCCAGGGGATGATGCCGCTGCAGTGGCATGACGGCATTGCCCGCATTGCACGCGAGCATGCTCGGTCCAGCGCTTGGGTTTGTAGAGGCTGAGACCCGATTACGTCCATGTCTGCTTCTTCAAAGGCAAATGGCCAGCGGTGCCATGCCATTCAGCCACGAAGACCGCAACATTTGCGCAGCTAAGGCTTTAAGGTTGACGTCCGTCCCAGTGTGACATAAGAAAGCGCGCGATCAGAGCTGCACTTAGGTCACGATGGCGTAGACCAGCGGTTCCGAGCTTATCCGGTGGCTCATCGGGCAGCAGCAGAAAACCTGGCCGCATTCTGAGAAAATTGCACTCAGTCTGGGTTTTCTCTAAGGGCCTAAGGGCGGATGTTCAACAGGTATCGATTGTTCAGATGAACATTCGAACATGTTCGGGGTGTTAAGGGAGATGTCGTTGCATCGGAGTGCCCAGTATAGAGAATTCAGGCACGAAGATGCGCAGACGCGCTGAGGCTCTGAACAACGGCGTTGCCGACGTCGCCAAGGTGGCAGTCGACGGCTGGATCAAGTCTCCCGGGCACGAAAAGACTGGCTGCAAACTTGACTGCCTGACGTGAGAATGTTGATCGTACCGTGGGCTTTAGTGCGCAACAGTCTTCCACCGTTTCTGTCCCTGAGAGGAACCTCCGTGGAACCTTTAACTTATGCGGCATTGGAGTTGCACGCGCCTCCAATGGCACTTTCTACCTCACGCAATTGTTCGCTCTGCAGATGTGAGACCAATTCGAAGCAGTAGACCTTTGCACAGACGAGTTCTTCGAGGATACATATCATGGTGAGTGACAGTTTATGGGTTGAGATGTGTTGAGTTTCCTGAAGCACTCAGCAATCGCACCACGTGCCCAGATGTCTGCTATTGTAAGTTCGGCATGGCGCCGGACTTGCTGGTGCCCTCATGCCGCTTGATGCCACTGCGATCCACTGCGCCTATAGCGCAAAGTGCTCGAAAGTGCTCGAAGGGCCGAACAGAGCATTGAAGAGACGTTTTGTTGCAGCAGCCCAGGTCATGTATAGGTCAAGGCTGCCCAGAACATTCACCCTGGATCGTCATTTAAAACTTGCGACGCATGCAGCTTCAGAGATTCTTTTTTTTTGTGTTTTCATCGCTGCAGGCTTGCCGTAGTCTTGCCGTAGTCTTGCCGAGTCTTGCCTTTGTAGTCCTCTTCGTGTGCCTTTTTTCAAGAGGCTTTTCTGACCGGATGCGGACCCTGTCTCGAGGCGACCCAGCGCTCGAAGATCGATGCCATGAGAGACGCGGGCGAAGAAGAGGCGCAGAGCCGCCCACTGGTCCCCCGCCCACTGGGCCCCCGCAGACTGGGCGCCGCACTCGTGCAAAAACCCTTCGCTCAGGCGGACATCAAGAAGCAGATGGAAGTCCTGAATGCCGGCTTCCCGGAACCTCTCGAAACTTCTGAGAATGCCAAAAGATCTGTCCCTGATAGCGCCAGGACACCTTGACGGTCATTCCCGACGCCAGACAACGACTTCAGAAGTGGGCCCAGAGCCGTTCAGTTGAAGAGAGGGCCCCGCGATTTTGCCTTTCCATGCGTGTAGCTTCATCCTCTCCAGCTTGTTATACTAGGTTACCCTTTGTTACCTATATATATATATATAGATTGAGATACCCTAGATACTCTAGTTGCCCCAGCTCCCCCAGTTACCCCAGCCGAATCGCTTTCTTCTTTCACACCTTCTACTGAGGCCTTTCCGGAAAAAGAGGGATGGGAAGGATGGGGGATGCGTGAGATCTCCAGGTACACCACTGAGCTCCGGGACCATTTGGCAGAGGGCTACCAGGAAGTCCCCCAGCCGAACCTCGAGATTTTGAGAAGATTTGGACTGTCAGGACGTTCCTGTGGGTGAGGGCCAGGACCCGGAGGAGCCCTCAAAGTCTTGTCGGAGCTGCGAGTTTTAGAGCTTCAGTGGGCTTGGTCGCAGCTCTGAGCAGGTTCAAGTGATCCTCGAGGCGCGGCAGCTGTTGAGGCCGGCAGTTCAGCATTCAGCACCAAGGCCCCACACCCTCGTGAATTGTGATAAATCCTGCTTCCACCTGCAAATCTACACGCTGCCCAGAACAGCACCACCTGGACACGCATGATGCTCATGATGCTCGCGATCCCGGCGGGCCCAAACACAGCACACCCTCGTGAATTGTGATAAATCCTGCTTCCACCTGCAAATTTACACGCTGCCCACAACAGCACCACCTGGACACGCATGATGCTCATGATGCTCGCAGTCCCGGCGGGCCCAAACACAGCACACCCTCGTGAATTGTGATAAATCCTGCTTCCACCTGCAAATTTACACGCTGCCCAGAACAGCCCCAGCTGGACACGCATGATGCTCATGATGCTCGCGGTCCCGGCGGGCCCAAACACAGCACACCCTCGTGAATTGTGATAAATCCTGCTTCCACCTGCAAATCTACACGCTGCCCAGAACAGCACCACCTGGACACGCATGATGCTCATGATGCTCGCGGTCCCGGCGGGCCCAAACACAGCACACCCTCGTGAATTGTGATAAATCCTGCTTCCACCTGCAAATCTACACGCTGCCCACAACAGCACCACCTGGACACGCATGATGCTCATGATGCTCATGATGCTCGCGGTCCCGGCGGGCCCAAACACAGCACACCCTCGTGAATTGTGATAAATCCTGCTTCCACCTGCAAATCTACACGCTGCCCACGACAGCACCACCTGGACACGCATGATGCTCATGATGCTCGCGGTCCCGGCGGGCCCAAACACAGCACACCCTCGTGAATTGTGATAAATCCTGCTTCCACCTGCAAATCTACACGCTGCCCACAACAGCACCACCTGGACACGCATGATGCTCATGATGCTCGCGGTCCCGGCGGGCCCAAACACAGCACACCCTCGTGAATTGTGATAAATCCTGCTTCCACCTGCAAATCTACACGCTGCCCAGAACAGCACCACCCTACACGCATGATGCTCATGATGCTCGCCGTCCCGGCGGGCCCAAACACAGCACACCCTCGTGAATTGTGATAAATCCTGCTTCCACCTGCAAATCTACACGCTGCCCACAACAGCACCACCTGGACACGCATGATGCTCATGATGCGCACCCTCGTGAATTGTGATAAATCCTGCTTCCACCTGCAAATCTACACGCTGCCCACAACAGCACCACCTGGACACGCATGATGTTCATGATGCTCGCGGTCCCGGCGGGCCCAAACACAGCACACCCTCGTGAATTGTGATAAATCCTGCTTCCACCTGCAAATCTACACGCTGCCCACAACAGCACCACCTGGACACGCATGATGCTCATGATGCTCGCGGTCCCGGCGGGCCCAAACACAGCACACCCTCGTGAATTGTGATAAATCCTGCTTCCACCTGCAAATCTACACGCTGCCCACAACAGCACCACCTGGACACGCATGATGCTCATGATGCTCGCGGTCCCGGCGGGCCCAAACACAGCACACCCTCGTGAATTGTGATAAATCCTGCTTCCACCTGCAAATCTACACGCTGCCCACAACAGCACCACCTGGACACGCATGATGCTCATGATGCTCGCGGTCCCGGCGTGCCCAAACACAGCACACCCTCGTGAATTGTGATAAATCCTGCTTCCACCTGCACATCTACATGCTGCCCACAACAGCACCACCTGGACACGCATGATGCTCATGATGCTCGCGGTCCCGGCGGGCCCAAACACAGCACACCCTCGTGAATTGTGATAAATCCTGCTTCCACCTGCAAATCTACACGCTGCCCGCAACAGCACCACCTGGACACGCATGATGCTCATGATGCTCGCCGTCCGGCCCAAACACATCACACCCGCGTGAATTGTAGCAGATCCGGCTTCCACCTGCAAGTCATCGCCACAATGCAGAAGGAAGCATGAAGTTGTTGCGGCTGCTTGCTGCGCGTCTTGCAGAGCTGACACTTGCCTGCTTGTGTTTGGCGACACGTGGCGTCGCAGTTGCATCTGTGTCGGGGCTGGCTCTGCGGGGGGGTGTTTTTGCGGGTGTGGGTCGCTTTTCACGCATTGTCGTGCCACAGATGCCTTCACTTGGTGCCATTCCTCTGTCGTTGCGTATAGAACAAGTGGGTCCTCGCAGGGAGGTGGACCAAACCTTGGGCACTCAGACTGCCGAGGAGGACTATTGCCGATCCAAAGAGTGCCACAGTGCTGTTAGAAGTGAATGAGAAACATGTGAAAAAAAAATATATATACATATATATATATATACATATACACATATGAATCATATGAGGACCATGGCCTTAGCCTAATGGGACACAAGAACGGGAACATGGCGCCGAATGGCACCCTCTCATCGCTGCGAGGAGCCCGGCGAAGATGCTGACGGCACCGGTGGGACGGCAGATGTCGGAGACTTCTGACAGCGGGGCAACGTACGATAGCGATCGCAGAATCGCAGAGAAAAGAGGAAAGAAAGAGCCCGAAGTCACGTTGCTTGAGCTGCAGGCATGTGCAGTCTTGCATGTGTGACTTCGTTGCCGCAGAAGACCTTTCTCCCTGGCCCAGACCTCGTTTTGAGTCGCACCATGCCCCTTCAGGCCTGAGAAGGGAGAGGTGTTCGTTTTTTCCTCGCGCCCTCTAGACCACACTGGCGCCGGAATCGTACTGGCTGCTAACACCACACCCCTTGAAACAGCTGAAGGCTCGCACTGGCCCCAGCCCTAGTTGAGAAGGATGAGAAACTGGACACGTTATGGCCTCGACATTGTAGACATCATGGTCCTGTTGCATCATAGCGGCTTTTTGCTAGGGCTATTAGGCGATTCGCACTCTCATGCTCTTGGTGCGGAGGTGACCTTCGCCTCCGGCAAGGAGGTGAAGGTGACGACAACTTCGGGCAGCAAGGTCAGCGTCCTTCGGCAGGAGATTGCGGAACAGCTGGACCAACATCCCAGGCGGCTGATCTCAAGCGGGGGAACTCTTAGTGAGCATGTGATCGCAAGGCTCGGAGCCAGCTTCTCTGGCCTCTCTAAACACCTCACCCCTGCCGGGGCACCCCTGAGCTTCCACCCTGCCTGATTTCAAGCCATCAAAGCACAAGAAAAATCACACAACAAACGCACCAAGGAACGCAAGCGCATTAATAAAGCATAATGCAGGTATCTGGGGTGGTTTCGTGTGTTAGCTTGTTTGGTTTCGATTCCTCTTGGGATCCATTGTTGTGTGTGTTTTTGTTGCTTGTGCTGTGAGTGGTGCTTCCCTTTTTGCATTTTTGTCCTGCACTCCTAAATTTCCACCGCAGAAACTTGGCTTCAGCTTGCCATTCTGAAGACGATGAACGTCCCTAGGCCATAGCATGTTCATGTCGGCCTTAGCACGAATGTTCTTTGCAAGATTGCTACTAGTGTTTTTGTGTGCAACGTCTCACTTACCCGCAAATCAAGTCAATGCGGAAGTGTATGTATGATCCCGGCCGGCCTAACGGGCCTCAAAAAAATATGGAAAAGGATAAACAACAGTTCAAAGGAATCAAACCAAAAAATAAGAACCAAACCAAAGGCCCTAAACCCTAAGCCATAAGCCCCACCCTAAACCCTACCCTAAACTCGGTTGTTATCCTTTCTATTTTTTGATCCGGCAGCCCCTCCTCCCCCCCCCCCCCCCCCC